GTCGAAATTTGTACAAGACAACAGAAATTACATTTCAAACGAAAAAGAAACTTTTAGGAATTAATTTTGTTCATTCAAGGGGCTTTTGCCCCTGAAACAACATGTTTCAACTATTATTGCTTTTTAATATCAAATAATTTTTTTGAGATTGAAAGTAGTATAGACACAAAAGTTTGTATCATCTTTTCTTAAGGAAGGAAAATATACAATTTTATATTAATTGCTTGCTATCAATTATGAATAATGTAAAATTTTTTGGTTTTGATTTTTAAATTGGAAATGAAAAAAAAACATTATACTTTATAAATGTAAAATGATAAATGGTAAGAGGAATGAAATTATCATAGGGAGAATCCATCATCATGTTTTACTCTGTCAATCTTCTTTTTTCTCAATGAAATTTTGCCCATTTGATATTATTTTACTTGAAGCACGAAAAGCCTCAGTCTATACTACTATTGAATAAAATAGATGAAGACAAATCATAATCAAAAACTACAATATTGTTTCAGATTTAAGAACAATGATACAAATTTTCCTAAAAAATCTTGTTAACAACAAAATACGTAATGTTACATGTAGTATATATTAGATAAGGAATAGGTTTAATAGCATAAATTAAAATTTTCATTCTAAGTGTCACTATAATGGTTATAAAGGACTCCAGATACAAACCACAAAAATGGATACCTGGGTTTTTATGATATTTCTGGACCTATTTTTGTTGTACATTCAATACATAAACTTAGCTGTCAGTATCTAGTCTCGATTTGAATTATAAACTTCATTTAATTCTGAAAATTCTACCTGTTTGCCATTACACTTAACAATTTACTTGTGTATACATGTAACTTTCTATCAGTTTTCGAATATATTTGTAAAACCTGGAACGAAAACGTGTACATGATATCTTTTTTTTTTATTTGAATAAACATCTTAAATTGTAATTTTCATGATTTTAAAATAAAAGTAGAATTTATTTTGAATCAAGTAAACTTTTTTTATCATATCTTACAATTATGTTTATCGTTTTTATGTTTTATGTTTTTCTACCAATTCATGTATCTTATAGTATACTTTTGTATATTAATCTGTTCTAAAGTGTGATTTCAAAGAAATTCATTTAATATTTAAAATGAACAATTTATACTCTTAAAGTCAAGACTTGACATTTACCACGCAATGATCGATCTCTTTTTTTTTTCTCAATGAATCGTTTTTCTATTTATGTTTTAAGTTTTCCAAACTTGCGTCAATGACGAAAGGAAATTTTACTAGTGTTTGCAAAACTTTCATTAGTGTAAGTCTAAATTTGTTTTGGGGGTTATAAAGTAAATATGTGTAATTGTCTTTTTTGAAAGATAATCAGGTTAAGAGTTTAATTACGGAATGACAATAAAAATTCTTGTGTCATCATAACATTCATTGACATATTATGGATTTTTCTTAGCACCACTCCGACTTAAATTGCGGCGACGAGACTGTTTAAACACACGGCTCTTGAAGCAATGTGTGTTTTAGTGTTTTAGGAATGTCCTTAGTCGACCGGTGCTAATTACATTTCGTTAAAAAAGATAACACATTTTTATTAATTTTTTGAAGTAAAAAAAATGGAATACATTTGTCTTTTATTTTGTTCAAATAAGATTTCGGTTTTAAATAGTGGTAGTTTACTTCACCGAGTTATAGATTTTAACTGAAAAAAGTGTCGGAATCTCAACTAAGTATAAAAAACAAGACAATTCTTAAAATACATAACGTATTATTAAATGAAATATATGGAGATAACGAACAACATTCAATCTCATAAAGTCCGTAAAACAATACAAAATAGCAGATCTTGAGCAAACACGGACCTCCAAACCATCAGAAGTGAGATCGGGTACCACGGAGGAGTGGACATCCCCCGCCGACCGGTCACACCCACCAGATGCTCCTTGTCATGATCAAGAAATAACGGAAAAATCCGTCGTCAATTGAGTGTTTAAATAATGAACTAAAAATTAGAATGAAAAACGTCAGCCAGCATTTGACTCAATGATACATTGTATTTGCTGACAAGGTCATTGTATCGACTAAAGAAATTATGAAATAATGACTTTAAACGAGACTGTAGATATTTTTGTTTCATAAACTTGTTCGTCAATAATTTACCTTGTTGAGAAACTGTACAAACGTAGAGCATACTCTAGTGCATCGAATCAATTGAGAGATATAAACTCCGAATGCAGGTGACGAAGTGCATGTATATTGCTGCATAAGTAAGGGAAGTTGACAATTAAAAGTTAAAGTTATCACATTTATCATAGAGCTTGGTTGTTAGATTACCATTAACGTCATTTTCAAGTAAAATATCCAAATATAAAACAGATGTTTCAGACTATGTGGTATCTCTTATGTGGTAGCTCACCGGGATATATCGAATCGACATAAGAATAGAAATAACTATTGTTAATTGACAATAGGTCGTCAATATATTGAAATGTCGAGTTGATGGCCATAGCAAGTGTTTTTTTTCTTTTCAGGTGTAAAATATTGGACAAATTGGGCTTTTTAAGAATACAAAAATAGGTCTGCTTATATCGGGGCGCAATTGGTACCCATGGGAATTCAACAGATCCAACAGATTTTTTGAAAACCTGATCTCTAAAAACGATGTTGTCAATCAGACTCAAGCATCTTTTTGATGTCAACTTCAGAGTACTTGTGTGTACAATCAGAATGATTTTTTAACAATTTTTTATTGGTATTGTATACCATTTGTGTCTTACATTTTCGAAGAGTACATATGCGATTTTGACAAAATCATCAACCATTTCATATAGTTAGTTCTCCATTAGCTGCATGTGGTGTTTATTTGTCTTTCAACTCATTCGATTATAAAATTGTTGTTTTGAGTGCGACAAATAGGTAATTTAAATCGAAGCCAGATACTTCAAGTAAATATGTATAGGGATGTCAATAACCTCGTTCACAGTAAACATTTCGCACATTCTATTGTCGTTACAATGATTTTGTTAGCATACATGTACATATCATAACATTTGGTCGTATTTTGACTGATGTTTTAAACCAATTGTAAGGCTTTTACACATTCTGTTTGATCATAAGCGTCAGAACCGAGAAGGGGGCGCTGGGGGCTTAACCCCATCCTCACTTTTAATTAGTCTTCCCCCACTTTCAATTTGATTCCGATGCCTTTGGTTTGGTAACGTGTATTTGTTCGCTAACTCAGACTCACAGCGAGTGAAAACGGATGACTGGTATGCCTACTCCTCCACATCACCTGATCCCATAGCAGGAATTTCCGAACGTCCGAGTTTTAAGCTCTGTTCTTAATTGTGTTTTGTTTATAGATATATGTCTGTTACATGTTTCAAAACAGACTGGTTAGCAACACACTGTTAATGCGAAAGATTCAGGTCTCCGACAAAAAAAAGGAAGAAAAACAGCAGCTAAAATCCTACACTTTCATACAATAGGACAACGAACTATGCTTTGGTCTCATTGTTTTTATGCATGCTTTAGTCGCACGAGTACTAGTATTTGAACTTTACTAAGAGGTATTTACAGTGTAATAGAATATAAAATTTTCTCCTCAGTACAATTTTAGGCATAGTTTTCCATTGTTTTATGGCTGATTGTATACACATAATCTCTGTACTTTTGATATCAGAGTAAAGAAAGGTGAAATGATTAGAATGAAAATGAGTTAGAAAACGAATTTTGCCAATTAACACTTTGGAGATGGACATACCATCATAACCAATTAATATAAAACCACACTACAAAAACAACTTAACTATCCAACGTTTTCTTGGAATTTTATTTCTTGAATATGAAAGCTTAAGTGATCAATATATTGAGCTTTATAATCATTTGCAAGACCATATACTAATCAAAATAAATGTTTGCTTGTGAAATATTTAATGTTTAAACATAGTCAAGGCAATGAAGTCTTCAAAGTCGATAGTCAAAAATACAAATTTAACAACAATAAGGTTTTCACTTATCACAAAAAGTAAATCCTATATATTTACCCCAAGTACAAATATCGTTTCCGTGTATAAGTCTATGCAAAATACACGTAGTTGTTACCAAAAATAAAAGGGTTTTATTTCTTTGAAATATATTCGCAATATGAAAACAGCGAGTATCATTAAAACAAGTGTAAAATAATCAAATACTGTTTGGAAAAATACTGACACTGTACAATACTTATTGTGTCATGGTACTCATAAATTACAAAGTTATATAAAAAATTTATAAATAAAAAATCATCACAAAGTATAAAATATCAATATAAAGCCGGAAAGTATATGCATATAAAAATAAGTTAAATATACTACATATACAAATACGTAGTGTTTGTGGAAATATTATAGTGCCCTTTTCCATCATGGGAATTTTTGAAGTACATAAAGCATAAATAATTAAATAGCAGACGCAAAAAAAATCTTTTAATCCCATTCTCTTTATAAATTAAAAGAAAAACAATACGATCTAATGCCAAATAAAACATTACTGGGGCTTTAACAGCGGATGTTTGTTTCTCATAAAATACACATAGAAGGCTTCAATTCATAAGCACCGTGCAATAAAATTCTACATAAAAATATAATACTCCAGAATGTGCAGAAGCATGGAAGGCTTTTCTAAAGATTGCCAAGTCGTTAAGAGTTATTGGTGGTCATAAATATGATAAAATACACGTAATTTTACCATTTGATAAAATTCTACGAAATGTAGAATTACAAATTTCAAGACGCCCTAACGCGTATAAATTTGGCAAAACAAATGAAAACCGTTCGAATAAAATGATCCTAAAAGTATTTTTACCGTCAGCATATTTTGATATTCGCCATTTTTTATCATTACACATTATGTAAATATTTTCAGACAAGACAAAAAAAAAAATCAAGTGGAAATACTTTAAATAATAAAATCAATACTGCTAAAATGAAGTCTCATTATTTAACAAATCAATAAAAAATAGTCTTAGTGAAAAACAAAATGGCTTAGGATATATGACAAAGCATATGGCAGAGTTAAAGTTAAACAAACAAATATGAAAAAAAAAATAAAATACATGTATAACAATAAATGGGGAAAAATAACATTGAATTTTGCTTGAAAAGTGAGCAACAAAGAAAATGACAAGTATATAGCCAACACAAAGACATGCTGAAAAGGGAAAAAGATTTCCATTGTGTCAGCAGCCTTGGGTGAAATCAGCTGACATCTGTTTATTTCTTAGTCGGGGGATCTTCCGGGATAAGCGCCTGGTGGATTGGCTTTGCCGGCTCCCAGCTCTCTAAGCCCCTCACCGAGTCAATCTCTTCCGACATCTGTCGCCGTCGCTCCATGTCGCGAAACGTATCCCTGGAAACGAAACAAAAACCGCGGGATGTAAATATCAAAGTTACCGAGCTCGTTTATTATAATAGTTTAGTAGTATCGTCATTCACGACTATTCTAAATCTATTAACTGTATCATATTAATTAAGATCTTCATATTTGATTGAGAAGACAAATTATCAAAAGAAAAAAAAGAGAAAAAAAATTATATTTATTGAAAGCAGACCATACGAAATGGTATTGAATAAATTGATACTGATATTTTTAAATTTTCATCATAACACTGAAAAGGAAAAAAAAAGTATTTATACGAGGAGTAAAACGATATTAGATCAGTGATCAGAAAGCAAAAAAAAAATTAATTCAATATACACTGTATCTTTTTTAATTACATGAAATGTATACGTTACATAACTCTCGTGCGTTAACGATATCAAATTAAAACTTTTAATGATGTTTATATTTACGTAATTGCAAAAAATATATTTTTGCATTCATTCATCATAATCAATAACATTTTTTTCTGCAATTTTATGAACGGATTATGTGCCAAATGTAAACCAGAAATATTACGTGTATTATTTTTTCTTCTTTACTTCTTTTCTTTAATTCAAAAACGATTATACAACTCTTACTCCACTGCACGTGTACTTGAGTTCAGCACATGCGTACACAAGAAAAATGAGACAAAATAGAAAAAAAAATCAAATTAAATTACCGTCATATACGGCACATGCCATGATACTTTGTAAACACGCAAGGCTTTTATAACATTTCAAATTCTCATAGAGGGAGTATCAAAATTATATTAAATATTATTTAATACTAAAATATATGCAATAAAGCCTTTTTATAAAATAGTTATTTTAAAAACAAAATAAATTCTTTTACAAATCAACATTCTTTAAAAAAAAACAAGAACCACGAAAAGTTCATTTATTTTAACAAAACAATCTTAAGCACGGATACTAAGTACATGATCACAGGTCTATTTTTCAGACTTCCAGACTTTTATTTTAATTATACATCAAATAAAGTGTTCATTACTTAAACGGTACTGTTGTTGTTATTGAGAAAAGATTGCATTTATAAGGACTGAATTAAAGAGGCAATTCCAAAGTACAGGACGATCAATCTTAATGTTATGTGATAGAAGAGCGTTTTAGTACATCGACTTGTATACTTAACAGTTCTAAGACTTTGATACTATAGACAAACTGCATTGTTAAATTTGAGCTGTATTTTAAATCTCTGTATTGTTCAATGTTTAATACATTTTGTTACCAAAATCTTTATTGATAACAACTTACTTGTTAGAAAGTTTAAAAACTATTGGTACATATACCTGTACCTGTAATAACAATAATTCTGAATAGAACATTTCAAAAATTTAAGAAATGTATTTATAAAAAGGAATAAACGAAGATGAACTTGTCATCAATACTAATTTCAAATAATTGCTTTCTATCAGGAAACGAGCAGAAAAGTTTCAACTCTGGTAAGGTTAGTTTAACTTGAAAAAGTTTAAAATTTTACTGTAACATACCGGTATACGTATAAGATAACCTTTCCCAATTCATTTTTTTTTCAATCTTCTTACACTATCAAGCTATTTATCAACAGTCACTACGATAAGGTATATACTCTGTTTAATGTTTTAAGAAATTTATTATCAAATTTTTGAACGTGATATCTTCTAAATAAGGAATCAATTTACCTTTTATTACGTCATGTTTTCATTACTCACCATGTTGTGACGTCATAACCAACACTTACCTGGGCTTTTTTGGGAATGGGCAGAAGCGGAACACAGGTGTCTGTTGATACTTTAGGGTAGTTAGCACTGCACACGAACACAAGACAAAGGTCAGAGGTTATAACACAACAAACAAACAAAACGAGCAACTAATGGTAAACAAATTCACTAGGTTAAAACACAAATCACTACATTACGTTTAACATTAGGTATATATTCATGAGTATGTTTAAAATTGTTGAAATCTACGTTGAAAAACAAGGGTTGGTCTTAGGAGGAGAAAATGGCAGATTTAATGGTCAGGTTCTAGTTCCGATAACTATTACAGTTAACTCTCAGACTGGACAAAACGATACATGGTACCTCGCATACATGTACATGTGTATATTTAAATAAATACTAGGTCAATTTCTCCGTCTTAATGAGGTCGTTTGAACATTATTCTTTAGAGGTGAACTGTGGAAATTATAAATCTGTTTACTAACATGAAAGTGAGCTCTCTTGAATTCACAAAGTATTTTCGGAAAGTAAAAAAGTCTAACACATTCCTTGGAAATGCATAAAAATTGTAGAATTTTGCTAGTTATTCGATCGTGTTGTATGTAAATGATATTAACGAAAAAGCATTTACTTTTTGTAGGTTTATCTTAGAGAACAACGTCTCTTAATGTTATTTTTGGTAAATGGACAAGATGATCATTAATATTTTCTTAAGCAATTTATACATTGCTTAAACAAATTCTGCCCACGTTTGACGGCATACCGGTATTTTACCATTTAATGTACTCAAATATATATGATTAAATATTGAACATGGAAAATTCACGGGATATTGTCCTCTCATAAACTGAACAGAATCATGTTTCATTTCACATAAGTCATTTAGGTAATTCAAGTAAATCTACAAAGTAATTGAAAGTAATTCTACATTTCAAACATGCAGCAGTACTTAGCAAAACTATCAAGAAATCAGGCATGCAAATCGAGAGCTACGGTCTCTAACAAAGGGAATCAGGAAAAAACAATACATGCTACGGTTTATTGTAACTTACTTTCGAACCAAACTGTAATAATATGAAAGTATATATATACATGTAGCACAATGGTACAGTTTTTATCAGCGTCTCTTTTTTGGTAAGAAATGCTTCATATTATATTTTATTGTGAAATATTGAATATTCATCAATTATTCTGAATTCTATCAAGAATCATCACTTGATAAAGAATGTGTAAAATTATGTCTTCATTTTCAAACATTACTTGCACTTTTGGGGATATTTTAATTAATGGTAGTGAAAAATGGTTAAAATAAAATTAAAAAAAACATGCTGAAGGGTTCAAAGCAAACTTCACAAATAAAAGAAATGTGTATGTTCAACTTTAGTGAAAAAAATATGGAATGACTAATGGAAAATGAATGGTAGACGCGAAACAAAGAAAAATTGATTTTGACTCTTTTTAGAGATTCACTTGCTTACAATTGAAAATAAAAGACAAACACTGAACAGACACCAAGTCTTTAGACGAAAAAAGATGGCACCTGGGCTCTAAGCCCACTTCCTTGTATATTATACAAAGACATAAACGTATTCAAATAGTGAGTAGTTTTTCTTATACGAGATGAGAAAATTAGTAAAGCGAATCATGATTTCTTGGTTTTTGTCACCTTTCCCTTTCAATATTAACACAGGGACGCCGAGCATCTGAGAGCATCACGTGCCAAAACTCCCGATCACGTGGGTCCTATCTATTTCAGAAAATGGTATCGTTTTATGGGTGTTAATTTCTCTATTTCCAGGCCGTCAGCCCACTTATTCCAAATGGCGGATATTTGATCGTGTTAGTTATCTCAATATGTCTTTCTCCTGAAATATTTTATTGTCTGTCTTATTTTAGTACGGTGCTAATAAGTTCTTTCCCATTATACGAGAGATCTATGTACGTGGAGCGACTATATTTTACTTTGATCAACTGGGGTAATGTCTGTGTTATATAACTGAATGGTTTTTTGCACTTTTACCTTGAAATACTTGTTAGACCAAAAATATTTTTGATTTTACTTATGAAGCACACTTTTAAATAGAAATCAATAGTTTTCCTTATATAAAAGGGTAGTTAATTAGCTGCATAACATTTTTATGCGTACGCTGTATATCAAAGCACAAATTAAGCTGTATCACAAATAAAAATCGGATATACTAGTATTCTAATTGATATTATCAATTAACGTTTTTCAACATTCCACTTCAATCATTGTAACAAACCCAAAATGGAGTTCACATGCACCGTATAATACGGTGTTCTGTTAATAAATGCATTATATCTTTACGGGTGAAATTATTGACAGTGATCATGTTAGTTTCAAACATTTTTCTAGAAATACCTGACTTGGCTGAAAAATGGAAAGGAAATATTTACAGAGTGAACTCATTATAAGACGTGAAATAACGCACATCTAGACATCAACAAACAAACACATTTAAAAAATACATGTACATATTCGATTAAAAATAAGGGAATTTATGATCCCTGGCGTGTCGCTTCAGGAAAGAATTAAGTTAGTGAAAGACCTAGTAAGACACTGGCGATCTTCATGTTTTGCAGCTACTAGTATTTAATCATTTTCCTACAAAATCTAATGGCCCGATTTTTACAAATGATGCTTTGACCTTGACTTTTACCTTGCATACCCGATACTCAACAATATGTTGAAAAAAAAATAATGTAGTGCATGGGATTCAGCTGTTTTATTTTTTCCTTACAAAATCAAAAGGCCTCGTTTTTACACATGACTTTCCTGGCCTTGATCTCTCCTCTTTTGACCTCAAAACAGCAATTTTTCTTCACATTAATTTTATTTCTTTAGACTTTTGCAAATACAACAGCTTATGTAGTGGGATTTGGCTACCGCTTGATTTCGTGTTACATGCACTTCATGAGTTGTATCTTTCAGCCATTATCAGTTTTCAGGTGCCAGTGTGAACGTCTGGGTTAGATTTCAAGAACGAACACACTACATAATTGTCATGTTGTAAATTTTGTATTTACTGCCATGGAGTGAATTCAAAATTCACAACACAATTAATACTCCATCCTGAAATTCAATTCATTGATTAAAAATATATGCACGAAAGTCTATTTACAAGTTATCTATAAATGTTAACCCACTTTGAATTAGTATTTGAAGTTTATACAGCCGCTATAGTTTATAGCTTTCAGAGATATAGGACTAATTTGTACAATATAACTTATATAGCTTTTTCTGAATTTCATGATGAAGCATACTGCTTTTCTGCGAACATCTGAATTCCTTTCTCTTTTATTCTAGTCTATTTATCAAGGTACATGTACCTCTTTCGTTAGTCAAATATTTCTTGTACATGTAGCATTTGTCATGTTACTACAACGTATGGTGGCATATATATGCCATCCACATAAACTTTTGTTAACATAACATATCACGTCAATTAAATCAAGACAACTATCTCGTCAAGTCCTGAAAACTTTCTTGTTTGTTGACAAACATCGACTTTATATCTTGTCCAGTCAAGATTCGATATCACATTTGTTGCAATAGCTAAATTGATATGAAGGGATAACTTATCTTGCTTCATGAATAGAACAGCTATCGCAAAAATACAATTGTTTATCTTGACTGGACAAAATATAAAGTTGATGTTTGTCAACACACAAGATAGTTATCTTGACTTGACATGGTATGCTATGTTAACAAAAAGTTATGTGGAAGGCATAAATATGCCACCATAACAACGTTTAACCAGGAATAGTCTTACAAATGTTAAATAAAATCGTTAGAGGACCAAGTACAAGGTACGAAGGAATGTGAAATATCGTTAATACACACAGTCTATCAAAAGGGGACGCCAAATTGCAATGATTTTTTTTGGTAATGTTATGCCATTTATTTGGATGAAATTCAATTTCACCATGTCTTGCTTTTTTTCTTGCATTTTCAAAAAATGTCAGAAAAAAGTTGAAAGGTTTTACAAAGCCCGGTCTTCTGCATATGTGCATATTTCATCACTACCGTTTTTTTAAGCGCAGGGATTAGGTTACCAACATACTGAATTCTTCAAGGGAAAATATCGATCCCGGAAAGAAATGAGGAAATCATTTAAAAGTAAAATGAAGAACCTGACACCACCATAAACATGTAAGGAAAGCCTACTTCTTTTTGAAGTGGAATAAAATTTACAGATAGAGCACCAACTCTGATCAGCGACCGTGCCAATTAAAGAATTATTTCACAAAGCAGGGAGGGGACAAATTGAAATTTTAAGATGAGAAAGGGGAAACGTTGAAATAGAATTAGAAGAACATAGATCTGTATTTAAATATATCGATAGTTATCGATAATAAATCATTAATTAATCCTCTAGACAGGAGGATTGTCAGATAGAGATCCTTTCCTGAGATTTAATTCGATGTCTTCGTTATCCCTACCCTTGATATACATGTAATTGTTAAACTGTATAGCGTAAAAAAGACGTCATCGAGCTACAAATAGTCAGGTTACGTACAGATATATACCGCCTTACTAAAAACTATAATCATACAATTATATTATAATCAATGTCATGTAGATGCCACACATATCTCTTAATTCTTGATAAAAGGGATTGAGAAGGGAGCTTTATGACAGAAAAGTACCGGTAATTATTTCCTTAGTAAGAGTTAATTTCCCAGCTGAGAATGAATATTTCATAAAAATTTTTTATTTGCTTCTGTAACAGTATATTTTTACAAAACTGTGTGTTTTCTTTTTACAGCAACTTTTACGGGCTGATCTTATTTAACAGGTTATGTCCGAAACAAACTAAAAAGTCAATCTACAACAATGTTCTTAAGATATAACACAGCTTCGTAATTGTGAAAGGACAGAAGATTTTTTTTCCAGGAAAAAAGTTTTGTAAAAAATAATCTTACCCAAACTGTGGGCTGGGAAGACTGGACCCCGCCTTATGGAAGCTGGGGGAGTACTCCACGGCCTGGTACGATTTGTCCCCCTCCGAGGCGTACGGGATCCCGTTCCTTTTGTCTATGATGGTCTCTGGGGGGAGGAAAAAAATCTTAGGGGTTAATGTTCCATTCTTCCAAATAATATTAGTTAAAAACTGCAATCTAAAAAGAATCTATAGAATCCTATTGAATTGTTTAAAGAAATTTTCTCAAAAATAATAATCATACCAGGTATTAATTTTTGAATTAATGATATTCTGTTATCAGTATCACATTCTTGTAATAAATTTTTTTGTACCCCATTCGATCCGTTCTATTCAATTTCAATGCAGTTGAAAGAAGGATAACTCGAATTTTTTTCAGCGTATACCAATCATCGTCGCAACCCACGGCCAAAATGTACGATCCTCTGCCATTCTCCGAACCGTGGCATGAGACAATGAGTACTCATAAGCAAGAAAATAACTTTCACTCCTTGGAATACAATTTAAGTACAAAATATTTACTATTATATAAATACCCCATATCATACAAGCTCAAGTACCAATGCGTGCTTGCTACAAAACAAAACCAAATCACCTACACCACAAACCCCGATATAAAATCTTTTTTTTTCAATTTCATTCATATTCTAGGCATAATCAGTGTTCATAAGTTAGTCCCAGTCAGGAATTTTACATAATAAAGCAATATTTCGCAGTAAAAAATATCTAAATACTTGTACTTTCCGAAAAAAAAAACTCTTTTCTTCATTCCTTTTTCCCCATCATTAACCGCTTCTTTCAAATATTTTGACGAAAGTTTAATTACCAAGGTTTTTAAACTACAATTTAAGGATAATAGATTTTGTATTTTGACTTCTCAAATATGTCAATACATGCCGAACTATACTTATTTTAATTTTAGAATTAAAATTAGTAAACGACACTAAAGCAAAAACCAAGAATGAGCTTCAAGGATTCGTCTGAAATCAATTAAGCATCTGAATTAATTACTGAAACATATCTCGTATATTTTAAATTTTCTTCCTGAATGTTAAAAGTCCAAATAATTATATTTTACTACAAAAACCCCACAGAGAAAAATGTTAACCCTAAGGACTATCTTCTGAGCACTATAATTTATTTTTTTTTATTGTAAGGAATACGTGTACTCTATATATTTATAAACCTGGCGTTTTGTAGGCAAGTTTCGTATTAAAAACTTCGTCATATCCTCTCCTTGTGTCTACTTTCTGATCAGCTGAAATAAATTCAGTTTCAAAACATGTAATAATTTTTATACATTCAGAAGATAAGAGTAAGGTTTCATTACTCATACGGTCTTTTCACACACAGGTATGCAGATCAATAATTCTAAAGCCCCCTCCCCCACCCCCTTTCCGAAGGAAAAGAGTTAGTATTCCGACCCAGAATTTTGTGTTAAAAATATTCCTTGACATTTTGCCAATGGATAGATTTAATATGGTTAATATGCAGGCCTAGGACTCTGTAATTTCTTTGAAAGAGCGGTAAGTTTCCCCTACTTTAGTTACTACTTATATTTGATAACTTTACAAATTCCTGGGAAAGGCTCCTCTAGATCTGCGTATTTTTGTTAACATAAGATTTGATTCTTTTCTTTTATCTTGCCATTTTTACACGTACAAATGCCTGTTTATTCTACCACCCTTTCCTTAAAAGATTATTTGACATAGTTTAGCAGGAAAATGTTTTTTAAAGATTATTTTTATATCACTGTTTACTTGTTCGTGTATATAGTAGAATGTATAAAACATACCGTTGCGTCCTCGCCCAAAAAGCATTCTGTGTGTGATTTCATCACTGCTGGTGTTAGTGGCCTTGTGGACGCCACCAAAGTTACACCTCAGCCCCACCTTGGTCAGCCCGGGGTCAAGCAGCCACTCGTTTCTTGTCCTCATGTACGTGTCTGAAAAATAATGACGTAAATCTACATAGGCCTAGAGTAATGATTTGCAAATATGATATATACCAGTATAATAATATTGCATCCAACTTTACGACAACTTGATGAAAACATGACCAAAAAAATACTAGGGATGTCAGAAAAAAAATTATTTCTTATCTTATCAAGAAGAAACTACATGTAAGATTAACTTTCAACATAACAAAAAATCTTGAATAAGTTAATACATATTGTTTAACAATGTCTTCGTTTAAAAGAAATAATATAAATTATATAAATTAACTCTTGATATAAATCCAAATGACGCACAAACAATGAAAATAAAGATCACTTTCGCTTGGATTGATTTAATTTTAAGGTAGAAGTAAGACAACTCTAGCTGACTTACAAGGGTACGGCCTCATAGCTTTCCAGTTGTTCTCGAAGATTTCTGCTGCTGGGTATTTCGGATTTTCTGGATCAGGGATGTATTTTAGTTTTGACTTCCAGTCTGGGCCATTCCTACAAAATCAGGTCATTGAAAATTCAAAATGATACCCTTATAAATCATAGGTCAACAAATCCCATAATTTCTGACAAAAAAGTATAAAGTGCAAGGTATTTTTGTCTTCATTGTTTAAGAAATCAAAATTAGAAATGCCAAAATCTCAATAGCCTTTGTTTGACATATAAAAAAATGGGGCTACAAATTGATACGAGCCACTTGAAAAGATAAAAAATAAAAACAGTAAAAAAAAAAAACACAAATAGTCAAACAAAAACCAAAATTAAAAGATATAAAAATACAAAAATAATTGACAGAGACGTTGTTTTTGAAAAAAAAAATCACCCTTATTTTCTGTGCTAGAAAAAAAACCCGAAAAGATATAAATATACAAAAATTAATAGCAGAGACTTTATTTTTGACAAAAAAAATCATCTTTATTGTCTGTCCTAGACTTACTCCGTATATCTAATGTTGATATTCTGATTATGCGGCATCCAGTCCTCGTAGAATCCATACCCGTGGGGGATATATCTCCGTCCATGGGGCCGGTAGGAGGGGAGACTGCAGTTATTGTGGATGTCTGGGAAATGTTTCCGCTCCCTCTCTGTATATGCAATTGAGGAAAAAAAAATTGAAGACCTATGTTTAAAACTTCTTAATTGAAAACTGACACATTATTTGATAGGAAAAAAACATCTAATGCATCTTTTGTCTAATTGATCTTAAACCTAAGAATAAAAATCTGGTTGGTGCGTATACGATTTCTGATAAACAATTTGAAGAAGTTGAGATGAACGTACATGCAGTAGGAATAAAAAAGATATATTTTTTATCACATTTTAAATTGTTTCATAGATAGAACAACAGCATTCTAAGAAATCAGGAATTAGAAGCAAAATTGGAACAATTTTAAGCCAATGGGGACACTTCCAATCCTCAGATATTTTCTGCTAGATTAATTCTACGTATACATATTAGCATACGTGAGTACGTGTACTTACTGAGTTGTTATTCTCTTTTGAGAAGTACGTGTACGTATACATAATACAATCTATGTTTAAACTTTCATATAAGTTTACTAACCCTACTGTGTATGCACGTGTACATGTACATGTATAAATAAATATTAATCATATAAAACATGCATATGCAGATTATAAGAAGCAATGTCACTTTTCTATGCATATATACTTTTAAAAAAGCCAACTAACTGATATGTTCACACCGACGTTACTTTGACAGTACCCGAGGAAATGCGGGCGACAACACATAGGAACTGAATACATTCCTTACCTTTTCTGCCGACTTTCCCGATTTCAGTCGTCAAATGCAACATTATTATGCTAATTTTATAATGTTTCCGGTAGATTCTATGTAAAGGAAGTTACATTTTAAAGCCTAATGTACTAAATCAAAATGTAAACAATATGAGCAAACAGCGACATGCGCTCGGTGAAAGCCCGTGGCCCTGGTGATGTAAACAAACCGGTGCCCGATTAAAGCGACACCTGTCCAATACTTTCACTTTCGATAATTATAGGAGCGGATCAAACAATAATTTATCGATTAACGTACCACACCATACTTACGTTATGTTTATTATATAAATATACCGTCACATTCTAAACCCAAGTTATCTATAATTGTATAAAAAATAAAATGTTTGCACTCTACATAAAAAGGACTAAAATTATTTGAATATAAATATGAAAAGAATGTTTATTATTTTTATTTATTTATTTTTTTTTTTTTGAAAATTAAAACTTTGACTGTTGACCAAAGTTTTATAAAATTGGGGGGGGGGGGGGTGTCTCAAAGGAATAGAGTAACCTTTTGACATGCTTGATTTGGGGGAGGGGGGTCATTTACATGGGTGGTACATGTACGCATATGCCATATGATAAGTCGTTTAAACGCGTGTTCGTGTCTTGGCAAATCTTTTATCGCGCTGTCGAGACTCTTTTGACACTAAAAATTGTTTAAATCAATAAATGACTCGTGTTCAAGTGACTGATTAACTTCAGTGAAAATCTTGATTTTTTGCGTCTTTGAATAAAATAAATACTTTAAAAAAACTCTCTCCAAAGCTATCGCGTAGTAAGAGTATTAATATTGTATCAATCAATAATAAGACTGTCAGGAACTGCTATTTATAGAGCTCACCGTATTAAGTTTTACGTAGTTATCAGAATTTCAAAACTGTATGTATTCCAGAAAAAAGGCAAATTGATTTAACATTATGAATCATTGCAGCCCGGAGGACCGGGCTGCTCTATACATATAGGTTTAAGTGTTGGTGTATGGGGATTGAGCTGGGAGAAGGTATTCAGAATAAAAGGTTTTCAAAACTTTAAAAATATTTTTAATCACAATGTTCTTTCCTTTGATAAATCATGAAATACATCATATATTTACTCCATAAAGTGAATCTGTAAAAATATCTGTTTTTCATATTTAATATATAAAGTTGCTTATTATTAACTATCGAAAAAACGACAGGTCCCCTTTTTAGAACATCGAATTTTACATGTCGCATAAAAACGTACTCTTCACAGTTCGTGTTTTATATTCTCAGTGATATCCATTTTTAATATTTTTTTAGGTTATGTATGTGTCTGGTTTCAATTTATATTTATGCATCCAACATTTACTTGAGGTGTTTATAAAGTTTAAAAAGGTATCGTTTTTGTTTGATTTTCATCCGACTATAAGTTTTCAAAATATCCTCGACTATCGTCTCCATCATTTAGACGCATGCCTTTTTCACACATGTCGAAGCGATATGATGATCAAGAATCATTTCCATTGTTTATTTATTTCCCGGGCGACAATTGATGGTTACATTATATTAGTGTTTGAGAGTAATGTGGAATGATAATAATACTGTTTAAAAACAAACTGCTTGAAAAAGTCCAGGAAGACATTTAGATTTTAATTCTTACTGTATAAAATTTTTCCACAGATATCTTTTTTGTTTTTCAAAGAAAATAATGACCAAATTCTTTGTTTTAAAAAATCAGCTTTTACCGTGATCAATGATATATATGATGATTAAAAAAAATGAAAACATTCATCCTGAAAAATTACATCTATTATTCTTTTTGAAAGAAGTAATTGCTTTGATATTCTAATTTGATTTTTATATAAATTCCCGACCAACTGACTGCGGGATTATGACTTTACAAATTAAACAAAGCTAGAACTTAAAAAACTAATGTAGATCAATTTCATTTTCAAGTCTATTTATAGAACGCGAAACTATAATATATATCATTTGCTTGGAGGATTGTATTGAAATATATTATTTATATAAATGTTTCTCACAATTTTATTTCAATTATATCACAGAGTATTTATAAAAATGCACTATACAATTATTATTTCTTACGTCGGAGTAAGGTCGTCTCCGGCATTGTAATGAGTTTGTACTTTGTGTTCTTAGATGAGCAATTTTGAAAATAAATATAAATGATGTTACATCGGAAATAGGACGAGGACTCATTAAATGAAAACACTTGTATTTAAATGTAAGTACAAGTCCACAAGAAATATGAAGCACTTATGAACTCGACCATTTCTATTTTCATCTATTAAATACATGTATCCATCTCACAAATTATCGCAACTTTTTTCTCTCTTTCTCCCTCTCACCCTTCACTCTCTCTAATTACAAAGGAGAACAGAATATCTAAAGCATAAATCCATGATATTTTTTGTACAAGAGTTAAAGAATGCCTCAGACAAACTAAGATATCCAAAACACGTGCATCCTTATTAACTCCTAATAAATAAGAAAGGAGGGGGGGGGGATAGCACTAGCATACTGTCGGGATATACAAATTGCAGTTTTACAGAAAATATCCGAACGATTATTGCCCAGCAGCGCATATTTAGTTCCACTCTCAGATTGCACATTTTGAATTCCTTGAGTTAAAAGGCAGTAATATATACAACATATACAAAGTGATATTACTGTAAAGGTGAACATTAAAAAATAAATAAGTACGTAGTAATTTGGGAAATTTTGTAGTTTACTAAAACTCCTTCGATTGAAATTGTACAATATGAAACCATCCATCCTCCTAACTTCAATCCTTCGGTGGATTTTTCTTCTTTAAAATAGAAAAAAAGAAGGATGGAAAAGAGAGAGAGAGAGTAGGCAGGGAGAGTTGGGAATAGAGTGTATGGTTGTAAGTGGCACGAGTGGGAGAAATGGTAAGATGGGAGTAGAAGATGTGGTGATCGTAAGAAGCTCAGTCTGTAGGGGAGAGGGTAAGAAGGAATGTAGGTTTGAGAGGGAGATCGCTAGGCCGGGTCGGTTGGAGAGATCGAGGTGGGAAAGAAGTCTGGATAAAGGGTGGAAGAGAAACTGGGGCGTGAGAGACACCGGAGTGGGAGAGAGGGAAACTGGGAGAGAGGACGGTGGGGGAGAGTGGGAGGGTAGGATGGGCTAGAAACTGGATATGTTAGATAAATGTTAGAGAGAGAGAGAGAGAGAGAGAGAGAGAGAGGGAGAGAGAGAGTAGGATGGGGAAAATACTTGTATCGATAGGAGAATGCTGAGGTGGGAAGTACAGAGACAAGGAATTAAGGGTGGGAGAGAAACTGAGGTGGGAGAGAAATTGAGGTGGGAGTGTGGGAGAGAAACTGAGGTGGTAGTGTGGGAGAGAAACTGAGGTGGTAGTGTGGGAAGTGTGGGAGAGAAACTGGGCCCGTGGGATGAGGCTGGGTTGGGAAAGAGAGACAGGGTTGGGTTGGCTGAGATGGGAGAAAGGTTGACATTTGAGAGAAAGAAGGATAGGGAAAACCCGATGGGGTTGGTGTGAGAGAGAATAAAGTAGATAATAAGGTAGGCTAGGGAAAGGGAGCTCAGATGTAAAATCTTACTGGTCCCAATCTATCCAAATTATCTTAAATATGAAGTGTGTATGTAAAATATCCATGTAAAGTGAAAATACTTTATGGTAATTAATATTTTTTTATCATAGAATAGAGACCACAATTAAGTAATAACCTTATTAATAATCTAAAGTAGAGCAAAAAAAATCTATTCAAAATAAATTTTCCAATATTTTTCTTTATTGAATTCGTAATTTTTATTAGGAATATCATGCACCGTAATATGATATCAAAATATTAATATACGGAAACAATTTTGAACAAATCCTCATAAATAATCTATGCTTAAATTGAATTTCTGATATGAAACTTTTTCTGCGTCAAATGTACTTAAAATATTTAACAGAATTGTACCATAATATTAGTTTTCTATATCCAATTATTTTCCTGCAGGCCTATTTATATTACAGCAAAACACATTAAACAATTTCTCTCCAACGAAGCTCAATTTCTAGTTAAATATCTCCCGTCGTGTTCCGCCTTAAAATCTTCAAATCTTTTCCTAATTTCTGGTGCATCTTGTCGCAGTAAAATAAGAAAATCGCATATCGCCCAGGGGGTAGCCATTATTATCAAACATTCTCTTTTACGACCTTGCTATATATGAAGAGAGAAAAAAAAATTGTTTCACTTTAAAAGCTCATGTTTCACTCTCTCATTAACAATGTATTGAAATATTTCCTGTTTGTAAGATCTATGCAAAAATAGTTAAAGGTGGCTTTAAAAAAAAAAGACGCTAAAAAGGAAAACCTATCCGACAGATTGGTCTTTTAATCAATTAAGCCCCCCTTTGAAGCGTGGTGTCTTTACCCCGGTTGGCGCTACACTATTCAGTTAAATCCCACCGTCATTGACTTGAGGAGATTTATTTAGAATCTTGTCACAGGAGGAACGCGGTCGCCGTAAAATACATATTCCTAAAGCCGACATCTTCAAGCCTTTATTTGTACGTCTGTTAGCCCAATGAATGCGACTTTTATTCCTTTTTCGTGGTAAATTTTCCGCTCATTAACAACACGTGTGTGATTCCCAGGGAGCTGTATATAAGACTATATACTTGTGCAGTGTGATGTACATTAATAATGCACAGTTAATTGTTTGTTTTATGCCTGGGATTAAATTTCAAGCATTGCATGGCCTCTCCGGAAATATTTAATTGATGACACAAAAATACAAGAGAAGGGCCTATATTTTTTTTTTCATGACATAAGGAAGTTTTAATGAATCAACGAAGCGCTCGTGTGAAGGGAGAGTTCAGAAACGTCTGTCGTGTGTGAGACATTGAACAGAAAATATATCAGAGCCACAGTTGAATCCGATTAGATCAATTGCTTTTGAATTGGAAATCCCCGATTCTAGAGCGAACCATGTAAACAATCCACGTGGTTCAGGGGGATCAATCGCGTGTTGTCCACGGGGAGTTATTACCACTATACAGCACTGTACAAAGGTGGCAAATCATTGTACGGAGATAGAAAGAGCTGATTATTATTGAAACCTTATTGCAGAGATTGAGCGTAGGAATTTTACTATAGAATTGGAAATAAATCGGATGTGAGTTCAAGAAAGAAAGGCATAAACTACAAAGCATGGGTGCAGGCGTTTCCCGCCATGGTCAGGTACGACGAAAAGTGCAGGCTGTGAATGCGTTTGAAGACGCCGGTAAACGACACAGGCGACAAAAGAATCCCAAGAAAAGCAATGATGTCGCCATGAGGGAAAAAGTGAAAGAAGTGACGTCATCAGAAAGGGGGTCCCGATCTCACTGGATGAGAGTCAAGGAGCGGACTATTTCTAAAACGGAGTTAGAAGCTAGATCCGCCCTTCGACTCAGTGACTTTAATAAAGTGGTTAGAAAACGAACGTTAGAGAAAGACGATGACGTGCCAATTGCCATACCATATGTTTCAAATGAAAAGGTATGTATGCACAAACTAGAGAAGCTGAAAGATTTTAAAGCCTGCTAAATCAAAAAAGGGTGAGGATCACAAAAATTCTTAATGAAATTAGTTCCAAGTAATAACAAAAAAGAGCTAAAAAGAGAACTTAACATTTTGTAAAACGAATAATGCTTAAGAGATCCAATACGTTGCAGTTCAAGGAAGGTATCATACGTACACTTAAGCTTTTGGGCGTTTCTTCATAAACTGTTATACCTATTTATTTTTTTTTGGGGGGGGGGTAGGGGGGAAAAGTTTGAAAATTAGAAAAATTAATTCAACAACATCGCATTTACTTAAGATATAACATAAATCTTAATTTATACTTTTAGTTAGGCCTATTACTATGCAACATATAACAGCAAGTGCATCGACTTCCAAACACTTAAACAGTTGCGTGTGATGTGTTCGTTTGTCTGTCTGTCAGCCAGTCACTTTCTGGTTGAAAAGAATTTAAGTTTTGGAGACAAACAATGCAATCTTTCACCATGTATAAACATAAAAAACACACTTCATGCATAAATATTAAGGTCACATTTAGGGTCAAGGTCACTCTTACTCAAGTTCAAAGTCACACAAGTTGAAATGTGTACAAGAACTCAATGAGAATTTTTCAGTTTAATTTCTACTTTTCTCGCTTCAAAGCTCCAAAGAATTTTATGTAATAGTTAATTTTGAAATATATTCCTGAACTTATTGTTTTAATAATTGCATTTTTATATTTGAGTGTCTGGAAATGATCTAAATATAACTCAGAGAGAGAGAGAGAGAGAGAGAGAGAGAGAGAGAGAGAGAGAGAGAGAGAGAGAGATATTTCAACAAAATCTTAACAGTTTCAATAGTCGTTCAAATCGTAAACCCATTACTTTAACACATTCAAAACCCCATTTCAATTGATTTTGCCCAGATAAATGCTTCTAAATTTACTTTTAATTCTGCATTGACGTAGAACCAGTTTTCACGTATTCTTCTAATTAGATTTCAGTGTAAAGTCATTTCAGAATTAATTCTTTGATTTTTAGTTTAACTTAGTCTCGGAGGGGGTTACCATTAAATTAAATCTTTAGATTTGAGTTAAAAAAAGTTTGTGTCGAATTTCAACACTGAATAAATTTAATACTTTTATTTTATTACGAACTAAATAAATAAGCTTTCTTTTTAAATATATTCTATGAGGTCATTACGTCTGTTTAAACATGATGCGAATATTTTAAAGTCACTTTTTTGATCCCATTCAAGGTTGAACTTAAGCTTGTTTTATTTTGAGCTTTGATGTTCTAGCGTAAAAAATGATGCAGTGTATTGATTTTTAATTTATAGGAGCTACATGTAGCTGATCTCAAAATCCCGTGTCAGCTCAGAGAGACTTACTCAAAATCTGTCATTCATAAACCGAGTACATGTGTTTTGTTTTTTCAATGACACTCAAAAATTGAAATTATAGCAATATGAATTCCAACGATTTCAAATATAATGCTTTCTATAGCTTAACTGTAAGACCAAAAAAAAGTAAGTACATGTACATGTATAAGCCTTTAACAGTTCATAATCGTGCAAATTGTTATTGATGGATATGGAACCCTAAAATAAATGGATCGGCCTCTAGTTCAATTTGTAATATGCATTGTAGAATTATTCAATTATGAAGTATACACTATTTATATGTGTCACCAGTAAATTTTAAGTGCGAAAATCGTATTTCTCTTTCCACATGTACAGGAAGTATATATCACTAAACACACTCATTTGTTGTGATATTTCGTTATTTGCAAATTATTTGTACTTAAAAATGTAGGATTTTTGGGAAACGTTATACACTTTCCTGAGTTTCTTGAAGTTATAAAAAGTGGGCAAATGCACACACAAAAGTACAATGTGATTCATTAGATGTTGTCAGGTGAAATGCAAATTAAATGAATTCCTATAAATCATCCTTAATTGCTCAGTGCAATGAGGCTTGAATTTTATGTGCATGTGCATATAAAAATTTAAAATCCCTTTTTAAAAGTATAAGAATTTCAACATTTGCAAATGCAAAGCCTCCCCTGGAGAGAGAATGTGAATTTCTTTCCATAGAGAGACGCATTCTTTAATGTAGGCTGTGTTCTACTTTTAGTGCATTTTATCATTAAGACTAAGTTACCAAATTTAAATTCTGCAGAGAAGAAAATTACCCGTGTGTTTAAAGAATGCTATCTAAGATTTCAAGTATTCATGTTAAAAAAAATCCACGAAGAGCATTTTTTTTAGATCCCCTATACTTTTCGATACTGGAATGAAAGTTGAAAGATGATCCAAAAAATAAATTACGATTTGTGTGCGAGAGAGAGAGAGAGAGAGAGAGAGAGAGAGAGAGAGAGGAAGGTGGTTGATCAGCTGAAAAGTCCAATTTTAATCGATCAGAAAAAACCAATATAAAATCAAATAAACTAGTAAAGCCTACTTGGTTAAACAAGAGAACAGTAGCCCCCTAACTTCTCTGTTTATTCAAGGGGTTTGCTTTAACTCGAGGCATTGATCTAATCCCCAATGGACGATCATTAAACACACCTGTGCTATTGACTCAGGTGATTAAGAAAGAAAAATGTCCAACCCCCAGAAGACTCGGTTATGACATTCAATCAACAACGTTTTGTTTATCATGTTCATTGCAACATTTTATTTACATTTTACTGGTCTTTAATCCGTGCATGGTCAAATTCATTAATATAGAACGATATATAGGTCTCATCAGTGATCCATTTTTTTTTTAATTTTATTTATACAAAACGTTTTATTTGGATCGATATGAGAAGGAATGTCATATACATTTCTTTATCTTCAAATTGATTCCACCGTAGTCACACCAAAGGGATAAACCTTATAAAACATTTCAGAGATGTACTTTGTTGGTCCAATTAATTAAGTGTTACCTTTACACTTAAATGTTTCCTTGCTATTTACATGTATACATGTTAAAACTTCCTTTTGTATAAATAAATACAATACATTGTATATTTTAGAACATGTAAATATGATTTTTCATATGTAAACATATAATTATACCAGAATTTTTTTACAGTTAGGGAAGAAATGTATGAAACGCACGGTTCAAATAAATATACTTGACATTTAAAAGCATATGAGGGTAAAACATGTGATATACATGTCATTATAAAATTGTTATAATGCAAACACGAGCTTTTAAACGACAAATCAACATAACCATCTGTACAATATTATCAAGTCTTTGCTAATTATTGTCAACCTAATTAGCGATGGAGTGCATATACGGTATAGCAAAAGTCCTACAGTCTATTATTTTTTCTTTTTGAAATTAAGTAAAGGGACATGAAAAAATTGAAAGATTCATAATTCGTAAAGAAATAAAGGGATATTAAAAAAATATTTCCTTTTGTGAAAACCTTCAAAGAAATGACAATATATGATAAGCTCGTTCTGTAAATTGAAATAGTTAGACATAGTTACAAGAATGTGATCTCATCATTTGCAGAGAGCCAATGCATGCAATAGCATGCGTGCGTTTAAAAAGTAATATCAAGTAGTCATTCGAGGCCCGGAAACATCTTGATAAATGTCTGGCCCTGGAAAAATTTTTCTCCTCAAAATCCAGGATTTAAGTATCTGTTATCTTAGTCGTTTTAAGTTTTTTCCCTCTTGTACATGTAACAGGAACTACATCGGATAGGAGACAAAAAGGGCTCTTCATTAATTGTTTTGTGATATTTCTGGCAGAACCCTTTATAGTGGAAATAAATAATAGATGTTTGCAGTCTGTTTGAAATCCCGCGAGATTAAAAACTGCTAACCGAGATTCAAAATGGTCGCATGACTTAGATAGACTTAAAAAGGACTCCTTCGTTCTTGGCCGAGAGAGGATTCTGCTAAAAATGTCATTTAAAGTTTTTTGAACAAAAAAGCAGTAGAGAGCTAAAAGACATACAAGACAGTGTATCTAATTAAACATTCTATACCTTAGTTGTCATACATGTATGCTTATTTTATTATCTTTAGGGAAGTGGACAATTTTTCGCCTTTAGTATAAGCGAAGCCTGACAGTGTCCACTCTAGAAAGAGATTAATGTTTTCCCTTTTTAAAATAGGCTCAGCAGAAAAAAAAAGCTTTGAGCGAATTTAAAAATAAAAGAAAATTGTCAGGTCGAAAACTGATTACAAGGTAAAATAATCCTGTGTTCCACCAAGCCTTTGAAGATTAAATAATTATAGTACGGTCTATATTGCAATGACAAATCATGCAATCAAAATTAGGTCGAGACTGCAGACGACTATGTTGATCACGTGACACTAAAATGAGAGCATTCATGTGACATCAATAAGTCACGTAATATAAAACCAAAGCATGCTCGAAGAAAAGTCAGTGTGTTAAATTAAAAATTTATTTGAAACAACTGCTGAGCATTGCAATTTCAGCCTGCATTCCAAGTGTGATCGATGTGTTAAGATGAGTCGACAATAGATCTCGCGCACGCGTGTATCGGCATTTCTCTCGACATCTCTCCCCAGAGAGAAAAGCTGCCGTTTCAGATTTTATTCTAAATTCCACTAATTTTGCTAATTAGGAGAAACATGTAATCAGTGTTGGTGACAGATGTAGTCTGATGCTTACAGCTGACAGAAAGACGGCGAGGTTAAAAAGTCATAATTCATGTCCACTTTCGTTGCTCCCCTCTGTCAAGAGTTTTAGGTAGATATATAGGACGCAAGAAATCAAAGCACTCGGGTTCAATTAGAGAGTCGTGACCGTGTTACAGGAAAAAAAATGTTTACAGGCTTCAATTAATTGACTCGAGGGAAATAATTTGTAAATAGCGAAAAATAATTAGAAAAGTTGCGAAAAAAAATATTTAAATTTCATATACATGTATACCTTTATGGACGTTATATCATTTTTCGAATTTATACAGATGCACGGGAATTATCTATTCATCTGAGGAAGACGCTAACTGTATCTCTTTGTAAATAAAAATCGAAGATAAATCGTAAAATCGAAAAATGAAAAAGAAAATCGTAGAAGAAAATGCATTATTTTTCTTAAATTTACTTTTTTTTTACCGTATAATTTTGTTATCACGCCAGCGGTTTAGCGATTGCACTATATTCTTATAGTTTAACTGGAATTTCTTATTAATTTTATTACTTTCAAGTATATAAATTGAGGGAAGTGTTGCTAATGCATTATTTTACATGTGTATTATTATCAATATACATGTACTAGTATGTCGTCCTTCTAATATAAAACCAAAGGAGGTTAAATTAAATACATGGAGATATCGAACATTATTTATAAGTACAAAAAGGGTTCCTCATAAAAAGATACATATTAAGTGAGGATGGTTTTAATTGTAAAAAGATCATTCAAACCAATCAATAACTGTTTCCTAATGGCGGTACTCCGGAGACTATTTCAATCGTGTATATGACTCAGGTAGTTTGATACCTAGTGTAAATCTTCTCAGGAAATCGACCTATATTTTATTTTTGTCGTCACTATAATTCTAAGTGCACATGTATCTTCAGTCACAATATAGTACAAATGTACCAGTTTAGCTTGACGACGGTCTTCTTTTTTTGTAATTTCTTAAATGATCTCTAATCGTCAGTCTTATAATTACTATAGTAGTAAAGTTTGAGGAATTTATTTTTGATAGGTAGGGTTTTTACCGCCCCCCCCCCCCCCCCCCCCAAAAAAATGATATTGCCTGCTTCCTTTGCATCTTGAGTGATCTAAGTCACTTTTACATGGCATCGATTCTTTTTCTCATCTATGCAAGATATATCGTGATATTTTAATCATGTAATACCATTAAATGGAGGTAGAAAGTGTTAAATTTAATGACATTTTTAAGAGAGCCCTTTTTTTTGAGTCATGAATTAAATCCCTTCTTGTTACAAAAGTTCGATTTTCTCACACCACTCCTGGGAATCTTTCAACGATCAGTTCATGAATGGTCTTTTCCCATGTAGAAGATTTTCGATGACCCTAAATCTTAAAATAATTATAAGATTTTTTAATGCCGGTAGTACTACATTGAAAGAAAGGTCATATTTAGCTTAAATGTAATGTGTCTTATTTCAAAAATGAACGTTTATTGTAAAAGCTCTACAACATAAAATTATAATATATATTTATAATTTGACTGTCTTTGAATGAAATAAGTGCACAAATCTTAAACATTTTGAGTAGGATTATATATACTGTACATATCTAAGTCATTTGACATCTAGCAAAAGACGCAGATGTGTACATCATGATCAAGCATTTGATCGATTATATTTATTTATCGCTTACTTTTTTTTAAAGGTTGAACCGGAAGAACTATGTCACGTGTGCAGTGTGTATACCGGAAGAGAAACCTATCCTTGTCGGATCTGTTACAAAGTGTACCACGAAAGCTGTCTCCGAAAACTAGGTCAGTGTAATGACCCAGCGTCTTCTGTCCTCCTTAAGAAAGCCCTCAAACCCACGGGATGGAGTTGTCAGAATTGCGTGAGTTTTTGTTTGAAAGATTTATTGATGGTTTGAATAATCCATGGGCGAAAACTGGCTTGTACGTCACGCGACGCATCGAACACTCATGCAATGAGATAGATTACATTTTTGTATCATATTAAATCTTAGAAATAAAGACATTGTCGGATTTGTAAATGTTGTATTTTAAAGAAAACGAATAGTATTTAAGCTCAAAGTTTATTTAAACAAAACAATTCGGAAACAGAGCCAATACGTACAGATCTGCAAAAACACCAGAGAAGTTGGATCAGGCGATATGATCCCCTGCCGACCGTCCACACCCGCCGTGTGCTCCTTACCACGATGGGGAAAAATGTTCAAAAGTCGTAGACAATTTAGTACATGTACATGTAAATATTTGCCAAACATGCATGTATATGTTTGCATCTACATGAAAAACGTCATTCAGAAAGATTGTTTTGCTGTTGTGGTCATTATATCGACCATTAAACTTGCAAAATAATGATATTAAACGATAATATCAATATTCTTGTTTCATCAGCTTGTTTGGTAATAGCTTGCGTCTTTCTTTACATAAATTTCTTTATAAAAATTGCTTATATTTTGAGAGCATGTTTCTTCGTATTATTTCACCCAGAAATTTAACCCCAGAAAAATATTGCCATACATTGTTTTTTTATTTTGTATTTACATGTAGCCCCATCCAGTAATTCAATATAATTAAGAACATGACAAAATGCCTGATATTGAATCCTTTTTCGTAACCTGTTCTTCTTGACCTAAAACTGATGTAAATTTAGTTTAAACAAAACTTTTTGGCTCTTAAATGCGCTTGTTGTGTTTTTAAAATCAGAATTCTTTATTTTTTTCGTTTCTCTGTCTTGAATTTTTAAAGCATAAAAATTACTATTTCTAAGTTTGCTTTTGAAATTAACAACAACCAATAACCAAACCACACATTTTCGATTTGTTTGCATTGAATTGAAAAAAAAATCTTCCTTGTTATGTAGGACGACCTGAGCAGCTTACTGACGGAAGAAGAACTCCACAATCTGTTTTCCTCTCTGGACCGGTATGAAGTGGCGCAAGGTACGTGTTTTGAATTTAAGGAACTAGCTGAAGGCACGAAATGTGTTGGAAAGATTTGTTCCTAATTATCCTTGTGGGTGGTATTTGAAAACTTTGAAAATAACAGGTGTTATAATATTATTAATTTTCACGGACTACAATCTTACATTAAAAGAAATAAATTTTTCAAATAAGAATTTCATATTTTCTTTTCAAAAAAATGAAAATTCCGTTTCTTTTGTGAAAGGGAATTACTGAAAAAGACAAAATGTATGCATTAAATGAATTTAAAAATGGATTCCTAGAACAGACACAACTTGTGAAAGAGTTTATTTACTCAAGATGCAGTGTACATTGTATAGGGGCATGTTTTATTTATTTATTTTGAATAAATTAAAAATCACAATCAACAATTCTAATCGTATCAAAATCTATCACAGATTCCAGTATAGGGTTGGAGGATTTTATGGAATATCGAAAGCGTTGCTATGGCGACCAAGATGGCGGCGAGGTGCCAAAGGATGCCCTACAAGAAGATTTGGCGCGCTTCCATCGGATTGACAAGGACAACACCGGGTCGATCACGTGGTGGGAATTTATCAACTTCGAATCAATCCGTACTCTGAAGAAGAGAAATAAGGTAAAGGGGTTACACTGTATATATTATTTAAATTGCATGCATTGGTTCTTAATTTTATATCAATTTTACACTTTGAACACTTAAAGTAAAGAGGTTTTCTTTGCTTGCATGGACCATTTGACCGATTGCTGATATTTTATTCTTTCAGAACTCCATCGTACATCTGCTGTCACCAAGGGAAATAGAAATCGCCCGGCGACTGTTCCGCGTTTATGACGACGGTTGCGAAGGAAACATCACCGAATTCAATGCCAAGAAAACCATCGCTGCTTTCTACACTCTATTTATAGAATGTGACGACACACTTAATGGGTTCGTGATTATCCAAGTACATGTACAATTATATTCTAGCACAGGATGTACACTATATACTGTATTATAGCTTCAGCGTTATAAGTCCCAATCAATTTGAAACCATTTCACAATGGGAAGGTACATGTGTATAGATAAATTAAAATTTAAGTTTTGTGACTAGTTTTAGTAACTATTTGTTTCCCATTTTTTTTTAGATTTGCTTTGTTATCAAAAAAGGATGAAGAGTTGTCTTGTGTTCTGAATGAAAGTTTGTCTTTTACAATGGACTGTGAACCCAACGGACCCAGGCAAGTTTTATAGGGATGTTAAATACATGTACCTTTTAAAAGAATGAAAATATTGACCATGACATCTAATTCCTCTGTACCTATATACATTGTAAAAGAATTTTATGCATATGGGTACGCCTACGATAATTTACTGAATTTTTGAAAAAAGGATCCCATTGCAAAGAGGAATGCATTTTGTAGGCCTACTTATCAATTAAAATTCCTACATTTGTATGTTTTCTTTTCATTTTCAGAAGTGTGTCCTGGCAGGATTACCTGTTAGAACTAAGTCTCTATAGTTTAGCGGCACGACCTAACTTAAGTCCGGTACCGGTGGAGAGTTCCGAATGGACCAAAGGCGTGGTGGTTTCCACGGAGATGGACTGTGACCTCAAGCGAACAACATTATGACCTTGAATCTTACAACCAGAGAGAGAGAGAGAGAGAGAGTGAGAGAGAGAGAGGAGAAAGAAGAGGGGGAGAGAGAATCGCGGTGCTTTTTATACATAAAAAGAAAATAACTACAGTTTCATTAAGTTAACAGGTGTACCTGTCATCTGTATTTAGCTGTTTCTGCATTTAGATCAGTAGATCTAAATATATATTTTTGCAAAATTATATTGCATGCGTACATGAAGTTGTAAATACATGTACAGTGTACATGTGTACATGCATCAACTTTAAGTTGATGTATACAAATGAACAATGATTTTTTTAAATATAAAAAAAAAAAACTTCCGTGGAGAAACCAAGTGAAACTTTTTAGGTTGAACCCCATGCAATAATATCCAATATTACGTACACATGTAACAGTCAATGCAAAGTATTTGGGCATTTAAGCTGTTGGAAAATGAAATGAAAATATGTGATATTTCAGATTCACATATGAAACTTGAATAAGGTTATATTTGTAAGTTAATTTTTACCTGATTTTCTAACACCTGCCAAATTTCCAAAACGATGTACATCTAATTTCTTTGTACATGGAAATAGATTTTTATAGGAAAAATAATCTGGAGTTTCTCCAGGGTCAGTTAGGAAGAAATAAAAGCAACAGAATGAATATTCAAAAAGCTATAAAAATTATAAAGAACGTTTCGTAAATCAGCAGAAGTACTTGTTAGAAGTCCATGTAGGTACACACGTTTATTACTGACTGTTACATGTAAATGACCAAACAATAAGTTTGCAATTTTTTGGAAAACTTATTTTTTCCAATTAAGAATACCCACTAGTTATTTTTTTAATCTTTGAAGATTTCAACACATTGAACATATGCCGGTTTACTTCAATAAGACAAAGGTGGGAGAGGTGCAATTTTCATTTGTGTCTAAGATTCTATTGCATTAAGAGATTCATGGATATTTAAGATTTTTCATTGCTTCTTTCCGTGAGCTTATTAACGTCTCCCCACATCAAAATCGATCGTTTCAAAATCATGAAAATAGGTTTGAATTTAAAGGTGTTTACCATTTAACGGACATTTACAAAGAAGGACAACTCTTGTACTTGTAGAGTAGATCATGTATAGCGAACGAAATGAAAAGGACAATCACTGCTAATCAGAATTTTTAAAATCATTTTGTCTTCTATTTTTAAAGTTTTAGAAATTGCATTTACCTTATAGAACATTGCCTTGTATATGCTACTATTATTATAATCGTTCTTCTTGTTTTAGTAATCATAAGATTTAGATTTTACAATCTTCTGCTGTAGAGTTTTTGAAAGATAATAAACTATAGTATAATTGGCATCTATTTGTATATTTTAACAATATTTTACCATGCATTAATTTTGATTGGGTTTTTAGGAGTCAAGGGTTTAAGAAAAAGGTAGTTTTTTTAAGTGAAAATGTCTAACATATAGTTCTTTAATACTTTTATTTAGAACTTTTACTAATTATTATGAAATCAATATTTTAATACAGACTTAATAAATAAATAAATATAATAACATTTTAGATTCTTTGTTACTTTTTCCATTCATAGTGTACTACTTTATTTAAATGTGCATGTTACTTTAATATATATGCATGATGACATTATTGTCCAGGTATTTGGGATGAACACTCTCCTGATTTTTTTTTTTCGGTTTCTGTAAGGTGTCCTTAATTCTATAGACTCCAGCTTTCTACATTTTACGCCACTTTTTATTTTTTGCCGGCGCCTTGGTTATTTTGGTTTATATTTCATATATATATGTATATTTAAGGAATCACTGTCTAGTTTGGAGAGTATGCCAGGACATCAACAATAGTGGGAAACATGGGATAATTTGCATAAGGGGCGAAGCCCGTTATGCTAAAATTATCCCATATTTCCCACTATTGTTGATGTCCCTGGCATACTCTCCAAACTAGACAGTGATTCCTTATATTTCCATTTCATTATGAAATAAAATTGTAGACTTAGACATTAAAAATGTAGACTAATAGATTTAAATTACACGAGGACCTCCATGCCAATTTCAATAGTCCTCGTACACCGACGTCAAACACAAAGGCAGCCGCACGAGATTTACATGCATATTTGGCCTCTTTAGCGTCAGACACAGAGACAGATGCGCACGAGATTTGCATGCGTATTAGGCCTCCTTAGGTGCTGACCTATCGACCTGCCTTATTTACATTCCGGCAGAATTATCAAGAAATAAACTCCCCCAACGTTCAAACAGTTATCACAGAGAAAAAAATTAGAAATGGAAATATAATATTATACAAGCCCGGAGAACGCAAAGGATGAGGCGTGGGGTTGAATCGAGTCATACTAAATTTTCCCATAAATGCTAGAGTCCCTTCCCCTTTACACTTTTACATGTGGTTGCGGTAAGGATGAACACTGACAAATTCGAAGATTCGGATCGACACTTACGTTTTATTTGCTTGTCAGAGTATCTAAGAGGATGAGTTCTTTCTCAATATTTGGTCATTTTTCCATTACTTGTCAGATGTTTTGCTTGAATCCCCCCCCCCCCCCCCCCCCCCCCCCCCCCAACCTTTAAAGCCGTTGCTACGGGCTTGTACACTGTATTACACAATCCATATCTGAAACATGCACGTACACATGTATAGACACAGATATCCAGACAAAGGTTAAAGAAACCTGAGTCGTTCACTCAAATTCATACATATTATAAATTCGTAAAATACGTATTACATGTATACTACAACTGCAGTATTTTACACATTTCAACTTATCGAAGATTATAAAATATACATATAGTATTCTGTATGCACCCGAAATCGAAGCTGTTAGTCTCGAGTCTGTCTTTCTGTCTAGCAAAAAATTAACTTCTTTTAAAGTATCAAAGGAAAGAGTTCATGTTAAGTGATTTTTTAGATACAGTGCACATAAACCTATGTATGAAGGATGAATCCATGAAGTCCTTAAAGGCAGAGATTTTTTACCGGGTGGTAAATTCCAGGTGAGGGAGGGGCTTATTTTGTACAGGTGTGAATGCCTTGGGAGCTAGCAGTCTACCTGCGGCCGTCTGTCTCCTAATCCCTATACACAGGAAGTGATTTAAGACACAGTGAAATACCCCAAGTGTCAAACTTTACCTGTGATGGGGATTTTGAGACAATTTTAAATTAGCAATAAAAAGTTTCTCAATTATACGTATATTATATAATTTGTTTTTGAATGTTTTTTAAAACATCCCTTTCAATTAAGAAAAAAATTATTATGATATCATTCTATAAATTCAAATATTAAAACAAAGATTATTTAGATGTTAGTGTATGTGTTAATTAAAAAAAAACCCTCCTGTATCAACTAGATTAGACTTAATTCATTTATCCCCAGGATCCCATCTATTATATGCAAAGAGAGTCGTGTTAACTACATTTCATTATGCTAAAAAAATATCTAAGTTTATCCAAATCTTAATAAGGCTTTGTCACCATAAATATGCTAAAAAGATTGCTTGTAAATTCTTATCTGAATAAAAAAGGAAAATATAAGTGACCCATGATTAGAAACATTATATTAAATTTTATCACTCCACACAGTGCTGCTCTGAACTTTATTAATAACATTTCCACTTTAGGTTTATCATTTAGCATATTAAAATTAATATCGGAAATTCATTTGGTAAAAAAATTTTATGTACCAAAAGATTTTTTTTATAAAAAAAAAATACATATTATATTATAATTCTTTTAAATACTAAAGGTATATTTATTTCATATATTATCAATAGGGCTGGGCAATTATATCGATATTTCAATATATTGCAATACAATGACAAAAAATATCGTATTGCAATACGATTTAATAATATCGATATATTGGCAATATTTTTAGATTAAGGAATTTTGTCATTAAATATAAAAATGGACTTATGAAAGTTTGTTCTTAAGCCAAACAGTAAGTCAAAGGTTGTTTTGTGGAAACATTGCAGAGCCTAACTTAAATAAAATCAACAAGTTTTTTTTTTTCGTGTTGGTTACTTATCATAGTTATGTACATTCTGCATGTAAATTAAAGTAAATAAAGTAAGAAAATGCCATTTTTATTACATTGAAAATATTGCAATACATATCGCAATACAGTTAAAAATATCGCAATATATCGCAATACGAAATCTCGTGCCAATACCCAGCCCTAATTATCAATCATAAAAACTTTCATAGTAATACAGTTTCTCTGTGCCATGTTCAGTAAACATCAAAGAATCAGAAGTTAATTTAAATGTTGCCCATCTTAGGGTCATAATAAAGTAAAACAAAAATCCTCCAGAGAGAGAGAGAGAGAGAGAGAGAGAGAGAGAGAGAGAGAGAGACCCGGGTTTTGTAACTACCCATTTTTAGTCCTTTTAGAAACCCCGTGTAACTTTATTGGTAATTGAAACGTTGTGAAAATTATCGTTACATAATAAGACTATCATATTAAAAATATACCTTTTGCTTGCTTTCTTCAAATCACGATATTTTTTTTAGAAAGAAATTCCAAGAACTTTTGGATCAACCCTCGTACACTGTATTTGTCAGATTAGCTTTAATTTCAGAAGAATAAATCTTGAATATGTGACGCCTGATTTTATATGTTGATGCATGGTATTGGTCAAATCACAAGTATAATGTTATCAATAAAATGGTTGCATGTTTTCTGAAACACTGTATGTAACAGAGATTCTGTAAAAGTCTCATTATAAATTTCATTTAGTGGTATAAAAGATGACTCTGATATGTTGCAGTAAAAAGATGGGTATCATAAAGTGTAACAGACGAACGGACGTACAAACAGACGGACAACTCGATCACTATAACCCCTCCCCCCACTTTCAAGCGTAGGGATGGGGGATTAAAATAAAAACAAAGAAAGCTTAATGTTGAAATCTCAGCTTGGAAAATCGGCAAAGATTTAACATAAATAAAGGACTTACCTAGAAACTCCGCAGACCTCACTCTTGGACCAATGATCATCTTCCCATTCTTCGGGTTACACCGATATGTACTGGGCTATAAACTTAGAAATGGCAGTACGTACAAGTAGTGCGCTAATATTTACATTTTATATGCAACCAGGCACAATTTAACAGCTACGGGTCTATTTAAACAATTTAATTGAGGAACAGAGATCAAATTGATCCAATGTGCGTGATGGACCTTTTGTATTTTAAATAAAATTTCAGAGAGACAATAAAGGTTGAATGAATGAACACTCGTGTCGATTTAAATGTAACGTAAGATAAAGAGATAACTGTATACACTTTAAGCTCTAAAAGGTACACATGAATAAGAAGTGCTGTATTGAATCACATTGAAAATCTATGTCAGAGTGCATGTACAACTAAAATAGTAGATTTCCTTCAAATATATACTCGCCAGTGTTATAAGTGAACTTTTATCTTTCAATCCAAAAGCAATTTTCTCTGACAATTAAGTTGACAACAACTGCTTGTGGAAAAGAACACCATTTCCAAATGTTCACCCAGGTTTAAAGTTGTTTTTTTTTCATTTCAGTGTTTCTGTATAATCAATGCCGCAGGTGTAACTTTTAAAAGCAAAAAATAAGTTTATTTTACAAACTTTCTTTTTGATTTATTTTCGAATTAGGATGCAATATAAACACTCGACTGGTGAATATGTGCTGAACGAATGATTTATCAATTTGACACATAAAACATCTCTTTGGGGTGTGTATTCGGGCACTTGAGACGAGTGATGTGTGTCCAAGCTGTTAAAAAATACACAAGGGGACAGTCCCCGCACGTATATGTACATGTTCTTTATTTTAATTAAAACGGAAACCTGACAGAATAATGAAAATAACTAATCTTTTAACGCCAGATATAATTGAATATAATTTTACGAAGTTAAACTTTTAAAATGTTACTTGATTTTGAAAAAAATAAAAATAATGGTGCCCACATTTTTTTTTATCAAAAGGAACGAAACAGGAAACAATGCATGGACGACTTAGTCAATTATTTTTGACAGGGGAAGATAACTCTCAAAAGAAAACAAAAATATGGAGAGAAGACGACGAAATGTGTTATCAATGTATTTTTCTGGGTTTCTGGTGAGATTGTTGGTTGTCATTTGATTTTAATTTCAGGAAATTCTTTGATAAAGGTTCAATAGAGTTAAATAACCTTCTATTGTGGTTTTAGCCATTTTTCCATGTTGACAAGTTAGTTAGTTACGAAACGAAACTATTTTTAGTTTGCATGTTTCGAAGTACAAAATCTTTTTTATTACCACGATGATGAGAGTCTTATCAGCCGTATGAAATTGGCAGTCATATTTTAATAATTTGAAGTATTGTTTGGATGAATTAGATTTTTAAAATATTGAAGTTTCTTTAGCTTGTGAAGTTGTCCCTTGCACAGGGACTTGAGATAGTCTAATCGAAACCGGGTATATCTTCCCTATTATACTATATACCCAGCTTTGCTAAGACTGTTTAACGTTCCTGTGGTCCCTTGTAACGGGTTTAGGATTTGTGATAAACATGTTTAATTTCCTGATAATTAAAAATTGTCTAATCTTTTCCCAAATAACGTGTCATTAAGAGAATAAAGGAAAACTTTTTTTTACTGAAAATAAAAAAAATACAAATTTAATTGAGGATACATTTAAAACAAAATACGGCGAATACGCTAAGTATTTCTTTTACATGTACCCTGCACAAATGTCAAGTCAGCGATTTACTGATTTTTAATTTTTACACCTGTGTGGTTTTAGGACCTGTTTGGGGTCAGTATGGTCCTCCCCCTAATATCCACCCACGCCAGGGATCTAGGAGCCACGCCCACAGTAACAGGAATTATAGGTAAAATATTGTTAAGTACATGTACATGCAGCTGTAATATTGTGATTTAATTAATAATTAATTAGAGTTGGATTTCTGTAACATAGCAATGTTTACAGAGGTTAATCATTTGTACATGTACAAAAATGTATGTCATTGACCCTGAATATTTTTAACAAAGATCACATGTAAACTTAAGATCTTTTTTTTTTTATAATAACAGTTAAAATTTTTAAGTGAAATGCACAAAAAGTACATGTAGGTTATAAAAATATTACAATTTTACAATGCATTGTTACATGTAACACTTTAATTTTTTATGTTTAGGATCTACATATGGAGCTCTGCAGCTGTTTTCAAGTCCTATTGTGGTAAGTAAAGAAAAAATCATTAATAAAACATACTGTCAAATCCCCAGAAATAGACATTTTAAAAGTTCAAGTTCATCAAAATTTGCAAAACATATAATGGTCGTGATTAAAATTATGAATTAGAAGTTTTTGATGCATTTAACATTGCATTGTGGCGATTAGCTAGGTTCGATCATTGGAGGCCATAGTTCAGTGGGTAGAGCACATGACCAGAGATTCATGGGACTCTAGTTCAAATTCCAGTTAGGTCTGCTGCATTTTTATCCTTTCCTGTTGCATTTGGTGCCGTACCATGCCCTGGAACTGACAGGTGAGAGGCCTGCCAGGGATGAGCCTGGGTTGGGTTCTTGGGGGCCAAAGACCCTTCAGGAGATAGGAAAATGGCGGTCAGCCATTTTCAATCGAAAAGTTCAGGCTTTATGGATTGTGGCCTGGAAAGCTCAGTGGTTAGAGCACCTGACTAGTGATGCACAGGTCCAAGGTCCGATTCCTGGTCCAACAATATGTTTGCCTCATGTATTCTCCTTTCGTATTACAGTTTTAAGTACATACATGTATTGTGATTGCCTACATATATGTAATATTTATAGGATATTGACTGAATTTCAGGAAATATGCCAAACTAGAGGCTTTTGCTCAGTTAAGTGGACAAAGTCTGCATCCCTGTAAAGACCGAAGGCAAGCATATTACCTGTTCTTCAGTCAGAACCTTTTTTCTTCCGTATCATAATGCAAATATTTTTTTTTATTTGATTGAAAGGGATTATAACAAGTTCTATCAACCAATCAAATTGTTGCCTGCAAAACATTGTATATTTGTTAAAGCGAATAAGTCTAGAGTTGTTCCAAATTTGACCTCTGACATGACCCTCTATTGAATGTTGTTAGATGTTATTTTAATGAGAATGCGAGTGGATCTAACATGTAGTTTTAATTAGATTGAAACAATTGATCGGATATGTTATAAAATCAATAAGCTCTGAAATTCATGGCCTGCACCCAGCTTGGTGGAAATACGGGAAGAGAGAGATAGATGGACTCCTGAGCCCGACCCAAATTATAAATCAAAAACACCCCCCAAATAAGGAAAAACTTCTGCTCTTAATGTTTTATTTTTTTACAGGGACAGTGGAGTGACATTGTAGGGAGGAAGTTCTGTCTCCTCTTCTGTTTGCTGGCCTCAGCGGGGGGATATTTCCTCATGGGCTTCTCTACCACCCTCATTGTCCTAATGCTGTCCAGGATTCCTACAGGTATTTATTCCACATGGAGAAAATTTTGTTTATCAAATCTGATAAAATTTTGTTTATTTATGAATTTACTCTGAATTCCAGCCATGATCATCTGTAATGCCATAAAGAACACAATAATGCAAGAATGAGTAAATTCTTTGAAATAATGATTGTGCATCATTTTGGAGTGAATTCCCTTTTCAATTCCAGAATGAAACAAAAATGTTAAAATTTTGCTTTATTTCTGATGGAGAAAAATAATTCAAAATGTGGCAATTTCTTCAGAAAGAGGATTGTACATCAGGAAAACCTAGTTAAGAATTTATTTTTTTTTCAGTGTCTTATGGGAATAGACCTGTATGACTTACATAATAAAACAAGTGAACGTATTGATTTTTAGAAGATTACAGTGGAGTTTGAGAAAAAGCAAAAACAGATGCTGCTATGAAGTTTCCAATTTATAAAATAAGAAGTGATCACAAAACAAATTATGTTTCACTGTCTTCAACTGAAGAAAATACTATTTGTAATTATTTATAAGCATCCTTTTTGGTTGTTAGTCATTATAGTTTATATATGAACATGATGAATGTTGAAGTTTCAAATTGAAACTATAAATAAGAAGTGTTTATTTTTTTGTTTTGAAGAGACAATGCAGGTTTGTTTTACTTAACTTTAATGAATTTTCAAGAAAATATAATGATTCATTTATTCTTTCAAAGTTATTTGTTGAAAACTATACGGTTGCATAAATATTTCAACTGTAAAGATAAACAGTATATGTTGTTCCTGTTATGTATTTTAACTTCATTAAATTGCTTAAATAAAGAACATGCTTTATAAGAACTCAGGTAATGCTCTCCATTTCAGGGAAAAAAGGCTTTTTATGAAATTCTTTTATTATATACAATATTTTTTATTTGTTATACATAAGAGTAAGAATCTGATGTTGCTAAAAAGGAATCATTTAAAATTGTTGTTGGTCAGTATTCATGGTCAATAAAAAAGTTGAAGGAAATTTCAGGGATAAGAAAAGTTAATAAAGTATTCATCCTTACACATGGATGTAATGTCACAGATAAGGGTGACCCACAGAAGTACAAACATTGGTCCCCCATGAACAATTATGATTTTACAGTACTTACATTGTACATGTACTGATTAGATTAAGCTCACTGTACTTGCAAAGTTTAAGATTTACTTATTAAGGTGTGAATGGATCTTGATGAAAGTTAATTTAAGAACTAAATGCATCTTGTTCATCTTTATAGGTATCTTCAAACACAGCCAGAGTGTATCTAGGTCTTACCTGACAGACGTGTCCCCCCGGAGTGAGCAGTCTGGGGTGCTGGGGACCTTCAATGCTGCCTCCAGTATCGGCTTTATCCTGGGGCCGATGGTGGGGGGTCGGCTGGCAGAGACCAGTGGAGGATTCTACAAGGTCACCTTCCTGTGTACTGCTATTTTTGTTCTCAATGCAGGTTGGTTTATGTTTTAGAACTACAGGAAATTCAAACCACTTTGATATTAGTGAAATTCATCTTGTGTGCTTGCTGTATTCAGTTTTTACGGCATACTTTTTTCATATAGACAACTTTACTTTGTAATGGTCTCTGCTTTCTTTTCTGATAGCTATTAGTCTTTCCTAGTGAAATATTTATCTTGAGATATATATATACTGGTAAGAAGTTGAAGGTGATAGCATATTAAGATTATTTTTTCAATAAATATTTTTACATGCCAGGAGAAATCCCATCTTCAGCGCAGTGATGAATATGATACGTCTTTAAAATGCTAAAATTCTGTTCAAGATTCGTGTCCTTATTAACGGTATACAATTTACAATGTGTCTGAAAGAAAATCTGTGAATAGATTTAAATGTTTTTTAATTGTGGATATCTGACACTTATTTTGGGCCTCCCAGAGCAAAACATGAACTTTGCCATTATAACCATATGGGAGGGGTATCATTTAGTGAGCTCATTACTCACAGTACCTCTAGTTGAACATACTTTCTTAAGATCTTCATAATACTGATATCGATCTTTATCTTTTTTGGATTTTGTTGAGGTGCTTCTTCCCATTCCTTCTCTTGTTCAAACCAACTTTTAATAAACTGAAGACTGAAAAACTTCTGAAAAATTCTTTCTTTTTTGTAGAAAAAATCCTTTTCTTTATGACAAAGTTAATTTTGACAGAAAAAAGAACACAGTTTTTCTTTGCAAATATTTGAAGTATTTATACACATTGCTCTGATAAAGAAGCAAAATTGTTTATCGTTGGCACTTCGCCGTATGCATGATTTTCTATAAGTTATTTTAGTGAAGTGTGTTTGTTTCATGGTTATTGAAACAAGAGGCCCATGGGCCACATCGCTCACCTGAGAAGCTTTGACCATTTTGTTCTTTACCAGATTTCCCCCTTGTAATACATAATGCATCCCCACCCTACCCCACTGATCATAATTTAGATATTTTGAAATCTACACTGCCCCAGGATCCTTCCATGTGCACATAAGTTTCAGCTTTTCTGGCCCAGTGGTTCTTGAGAAGAAGATTTTCAAAGAGTTTTCCTATATATTTCTATGTAAAACTTTGATTCCCCATTGTGGCCCCACCCTTTCCCGGGGGTCATGATTTGAACAATTTAGAATCTACACTACCCAAGGATGCTTCCATATAAGTTTCAGCTTTTCTGGCCCAGTGGTTCTTGAGAAGAAGATTTTCAAAGATTTTTCCTATATATTCTATGTAAAACTTTGATTCCCCATTGTGGCCCCGCCCTTCCCCCAGGGGTCTGATTTGAACAATTTAGAATCTACACTACCCAAGGATGCTTCCATATAAGTTTCAGCTTTTCTGGCCCAGTGGTTCTTGAGAAGAAGATTTTCAAAGATTTTTCCTATATATTTCTATGTAAAACTTTGATTCCCCATTGTGGCCCTGCCCTTCCCCCAGGGGTCATGATTTGAACAATTTAGAATTAACACTACCCCCATATGCTTCCACATAAGTTTCAGCTTTTCTGGCCCAGTGGTTCTTGAGAAGAAGATTTTCAAAGATTTTTTCTATATATTTCTATGTAAAACTTTGATTCCCCATTGTGGCCCCGCCCTTCCCCCGGGGGTCATGATTTGAACAATTTAGAATCTACACTATACCAGGATGCTTCCATATAAGTTTCAGCTTTTCTGGCCCAGTGGTTCTTGAGAAGAAGATTTTTTAATGACCCCGCCCTATTTTTGTCTTTTCTTGATTATCTCCCCTTGTGAGGGGACTTGGCCCTTTATTTTAACTATTTAAATTCCCCTTCACCCAAGGATGCTTTGTACCAAGTTTGGTCAAAATTGGCTCAGTGGTTCTTGAGAAGAAGTCGAAAATGTGAAAAGTTTACAGACGGACAGACAGACGGACGGACGACGGAAAAAATGTGATCAGAAAAGCTCACTTGAGCCTTCAGCTCAGGTGAGCTAAAAAGTACCTTGCAAGTACCGGTATATATTTGTTTTACTTACTTAAGCAAAATTTCTTTTGAATCTTTAGTGTTTATGTGGGCAGCAGTGGAGGATAAAGAATCCAGCAGTTATAACAAGGAAAACAAACCGCTGAGAAACGATTCAGAGGATTCCTTGAAAAAACTAAATTCAGGTGAAGAGAACTTCAGTCCAAAACTTCTTCTTCAATCCTTTAGAACGTTTGACTGGAAAAACCTTTGGGATCTGTTTCTAATCAAATTCTGTCTGGGCTTCTCCATATTACTGTACAGGAGCAACTTTTCATTGACAATGCGGGAGATATTTCATTTGTCACCAAGTAATATCGGTTACCTTATTTCATATTCAGCAACCATCGCAGCTCTCAGTGGATTTCTAGTGGGTAGAATCTCAAAACTGTTTAGAAGTGATGCACAGATAGTTTTATATATGAGTGTATTTCAGACTTTAACTCTGTTATCTTTGAGTATTGTCAGTAACATTGTACTCTATGTGATATGTTATACCCCTCTAAGCATAATTTCTTCAATGCTGAGAGTTGCCTCTACAAGTCTAACGATACAACGTTGTGGCGGGAAAAATGTGGGAGGTGTTATTGGTATGAGTCAGAGTGTGATGTCATTAGCGCGCATGCTCTCTCCATTCATTTCCGGACTTGTTATGGAAGTGAGTTACTCAGGCAGTGCGTTTGTTGGATTTTTGGTGTCAAGTATTGCTGTGATATTATTGATTTTGAGGCCTCAAGAACCGAAAGTTTATAAAGAAAAGGTGCAATAAATAAAAAAAAAATGTTTTTTTTTTCAAGTTTTCAAGTCATTTTACTGCAGAACAATAGCAAAAATGAATGTGTATGCTACAAAATCTTTGTTTGTAAAATGAAGACGTTTATGCAAGACCTTCCAATCTGCAAATTTTTAGGGTTAATTTAATCAATATTTTATTATGTAAAGTAAGATTACATAATTGGATTGGACATCAGGCATGGCCTATATAAGTCCTCTCCAAGTTTTTTTTTTTTTTTTTTTTTTTTTAATTTAATCAATTTTTAGGGTTCTGTGTGAATTCCATTCTATCTACAATCTATTTCCAGTCACATGGAGACATATACTCGTCTGGTAATACATGTACGAACAAATGTAGTGCGTGTATATCGATGACAAATATAAGTAATTTTGGTTCTGAAAAGCCACTACAACTATCTTTGAATATTAAGATAACTTTATTCTTTTTCTTGATGACAAAAACGACTTGTGTTAAAAAATACCATGTTCTTCACTTGCTTTTTTGCAACAGATTTACATGTAAGAAATAATTTAACTACGAACAGTTCATTTAAATCAATCCTACATGTATAACTTTATAACAGAAGTAAGCAGGATTAATTTGAAAAAAAATATATAGAAATGAAAGAACAGCATTTATACGCAAGGGTTTTTTATACCAGCAGCAAATATAGCAATTAACTTTCAAATGGACATACATTTTGCAATTCAAGATTCTCGCATAAACATTTCATATATACATGAACAAAGATATACAAATGAAAATTCAAGTGGACTTGTACAGTCATAAAAATTACAGTCTTTGACATCTAATTATACTGCATCTAAAAGAAACTAATAGCGGCAACTATTTTACACGTAAAAGCTTGTAGAACCGTGATTTTATAATGTACATTAATTTTATCTTTTGGTGAAAAGATAATTCAATATGAAAATGAAAAGTCACAGACCCCCCCCCCCCCCCCCCCCCCAAAAAAAAAAAAACAACCTGAAAAAGTTCTTGTCATAAAAAAAAAACAAATAATGGCGAGTTTCTTGTTATGATGCCAACAATTAAAGACAAAGGTACATGTACACTTGAATACTTAATTTAAAAATCAAGATTTTGATTTTGGGACATAATTACTGGCATGCTCATGAATACATAATATATTTTCAACCATATTTGTTGAAAGAATGTTAAATTTACATATTACATTTTGGTTTATGCTTATATCTTACGATTTTAAAGTTTCAAATTAAAAAAAAAATAAAGGACATCATATGTAGCTTTGGAGTAACTTTAAGTAAATAATAAACTTTTAGTGCGCTTGTGCAGTATTTTTGAATTTGATAAGTTATACTTAAATCTGTACTTCGTAAATCTATAGATCAACACAATAGTGGTCTCTACACATGAGTAGAAATATTTCACGCATTATTTTAATAAATCTTTCTTTTATGAGGTATAATTGAAAAAAATGTGTCTGTTAGGAGAGCCATGATTTAATTTCATATCCTCCACATAATATAAAATCTTGAACAATCGATCAACATTTCCGCGAAATCTACACAATGAAATATTCTGTCCTAAACCACTCGAAATTTTATCACCACAAAAATATTTGATTTTACAGCATTAATCAACATGAGTTAAAAACTTTTTTTCCCTATAACATTTAGCGGTAGCTAGCTCAACATATTGACTCTAGATAAACTAATTATAGAAAGCATTATCACACAAAGACTGTCTAACACAGGGATGTCACTTGATGAAGATTGGGATCCGCTCCTCTTCTCTGGTGACGAGGTTGTGGGAAAGATGACTTTGTAATCTGAAAAAAAGAGTACAATAGCAATTTGAAGAGAGAGAGACAGAGAGAGAGAGAGAGAGAGAGAAAGAGAGAGAGAGAGAGAGAGAGAGAGAGAGGGAAGTGATTTAATACACAGTGAAATACCCAGATATCAAACTTTACCTGTGTTGGGGATTGTGAGACAATTTTAAAATTAATAGTAAAAACTTTTTTTTTTCAATTATACATTGATTTATTTTTGACTGTTTGAAAACACCGGCCCCTAGCTACCCATTGAAAAAAAAGACATGATATCATACTATAAATTCAAATATTGAAACAAAGATTATTGTGAGTGAATGTATCATTTAATTTAAAAAAAACTCCTGTAACAACCAGAGTAGACTTCATTCATTCATCCCTAAAATTTCATCTATTAATTAAATGAAAAGAGAGTCATGTTAACAACATTGCATTAAAAAAAACTAAGTTTATCCTAACATTAATAAGACTTTATCACTATGAAATATGCCAAAAAAGATTGCTTGTAAATTCTAATCTGAAAAAAAAGAAAACATAAGTGACACATGATTAGAAGAATTATTTTTTTCTAATTCAAGACACTGCTGCTCTGAACTTCATCGATAACATTTCCACTTTAGGTTTACCAATTAGAGTATTTAAATTAATCGAAATTTCATCAGAAAAAAAGTTTTTAGTTTTTTTTTAATAAAAAAAAAATGCATATTATATTATAATCCTTTCAAATACTGAAGGTTTATTTAATTCATATATTATCAATCTAAAAATTTTCATAGTAATACAGTCTCTGTATACCATGTTCAGTAAACATCAAAGGATCAAGTTAATTAGAAGGTCACCAAGAATGTCCAACAAGTATACAGGGTATGCACAAGGACCAGTAAGTAAATGTCAATCAAGTTCCAGCATCCAATGATAGACCTTCATGCACTTGATTGACAGGGTTACCCAGACCAGGTATTTTTGAAGGCGGTGCTTAAAATCTCTGCCTTTAAATAAAGGGCACATGGAGCTGGGTCCCTAATATCAGCGAGATTCGTCGAGACTAAACATTTTGGACAGATGTCTCTTCTGAATCTCAGAGCAGTGTCACATAATCTCATTCGGGGTTTCGTTCCCGTACTTCAACCGCTTATTTCAATTAATTTAAAATTTATAATCTCAACGAATCTTGCTGGGATTATTGAAGGCCCATGAAATTATTCGGGTCGGTCACTTACCAGGGCTAAATTCATATCGTCCCAGGAAACCCGTATGTTCGTAGTTATCAAAGGAACTCATCAGAACCCGGAAGTAGGCGCCGTCGGACACTCGTTTGGTGATCAATGACTGCATGACACCACAGATAGGTTTGAATCCCCTGTCTGGTCCATCGTGAGCGAAGGCGGTAAACGTCACGTGGTCGTTCTTACCTTCACATCTAAATAATATGTGGAACATCGGGATAACAATGAATTAGATTAGAAGGATAAGGCATGCCTTAAGTGAAATCAAACGCACCAGCTTTTGTTACATCAAGCAATATAAAGATTTAGAACTTTATATGTATTTATCAAGTTTCGTGAGAGTTGAATAATTAAATTACAAACTTACACTCCTCCTCTTCCTACGTCGAAATTGTCCAGGGTGATGGTGACTCGCTCTCCTGGTTCGCCGCGGAATACGTACTCACAGTGTGTGTAGGAGGGGTAGTACCCGGGGTAGTTAGGGGTGGTAAAGTTACCCACCTTCTGTACCGTGCTGTTATACAGGAACTTACAAAGGGGGCGACCTAGGAAATGAAGTATGACAGGGGGAATTGTTAGAAAAACAGCACCCTAAAGGGTAAAGTTCAAACACGACAGAACAGTTTTCAGCTAACGTTTACAAAAGAAAAAAAAGTACATGTAAATAATTAAAAAAGTAAGTATGTTGCATGCTATTAACACCGCCGGTTATCTAAAGCTAATTGTTTTTTTTACTAGTATGAAAATTTAAACTGAAGGCTATAATCAAAGAAAATGATCATCCCATACCATTATCGCCCATCGATTGTAAGCCTGTTGTTATTCCAAAATCTGAAACAAAACGGAAACATTATGACTCTGACAGTCAAACTTTTTCAGTTTTGCAATCGAATTAAGAAAAATTATGTATTTAACAATTAAATATGCAACACTTTCTAAAGATATTTTATAACTTTAAGAAAGAAGTGATGAAAAGTTGTGGGCACTAAGTTTCACCTTTTCTAAATTTATACTGGAACTCGAACCCCGAGGCTTGTCCCTTGTCTCCCCCGGGCAGACTGACGAACCTGACCCTCAGCCAGTTGTACACGGACATGTATTGTAGGGGGAGCCTATCCCCACAAAACATGATACTGGCCTCGTCATAGGATTCGAAGATATAAATAGACACGGAATCCTCCAACTTACAATCCCTGTAATAGGACACATGTTGTTATTTTTAGAAAATGAAAATTCTGGTTCATCCTTGCCTTCTTCAGAAAAAGATAAAAATAGAAAGATTTGATCATTCAACATCATCAATTGGTCAGATTAACGTACTGGGCAAAGTTTAGTACTGAATGATTTGATTACGTTCTGTAAAGTGTGTAGCCTGTCATGTCTATTTACGCTTGTATACTCATGAAACATGTAGAAATAACGAACAGCATTTAAGATCAAAAGTCCACAAAACAATACAAAATAGGAGCAGAGCAAACAACCTCCAAAACATCAGGGGTGGGATCAGGTGCCATGGAGAAGTGAGCATCCCCTGCCGACCGGATTACTAGAAGTCAGACTGACAAAATTAAGAATGTATGATTTTTAAGCAGGGGGATTATATTTTCTTTATGAATTTGGTCAAAATGATTTATTATTGATTTGGAATGCTAGATTAGTATAATGCTTTGACAAGCACGATCTTTTATGCCAAACAATAGCATTGTGTATGCACGTAAAAGGAAGTAATAAAAACTTTAATTATCTCTAATCCTTACCAAAAACAAAATTCGAAAAGAAAATAAAGTTTTGACTTAAAATAAAGTGAGCACAATGGCACCCATTTACAAGCAGCCTTCTAGAACTAAGACAAAACTATCATAAAAGAAAAGAAATAAAAAAAAATTATGTCATATTCCTCTGGGAAATCAGCCCAGAGAACACAAAACATTTCTCTATTCTGTCAATGTTGACTGGTCATTTAAGCAGAGATTCCCTTGGTTGTTGGACTAATGAACACACTTGGAGTAAATTTGATTAATTTTCCGCTTTCATCAATTTACTGTCAATGGCGGAAAACTATTTTCCCTGATAAAGCGTGGGGGATTATTTGAACGAATGACTGCATTTTTAGCCCCGAGACCAGGTGTCTGTCTGGCAGGGGAAAAATTAATTATACACAGGAGGGGGACTTTGCTAGGTTTTTCCTGATCTAGAGATCCCCTGGAGTAAGTGCAGCCATTGCAATGATGAAATTGTTTGGCTCCTGCATAGATATACAGTGACGAGTTTCTATTCAATTATTCTGTTTCAGCAGTCCTAATCAATAATAATATTGAAAAAAAAAACACGATTTACAGATTGATATTTTTTTTTACTTCCAGAAAAATTATTTGCATGTCAAAAACATATTGTGTTCGGAGTTATTCATATCCAAGGGAAACATTTTTCAAATCCTAGAAACAAAGCGATGAGGACAAATATGTTTTTATATCGATGTTTGCAGTTAGAAGTGAAGACAAACGTTCAAAAAGCAAGAAATAATTTTTTTTTCTATGAGAATGAAGCAATATATGATTAACTGAAAGGTAAATTAAATTCCCGTTGCAGTTTTCTTTTTATATAAATGTGTATTTAAGGAGAAAATGATTCAGTCAGAGATATTTGATAATGCAACATGTGTTGCATTCACTGTTGAAAAATGCTCACAAATGAAATTATTTCATAAGGAATTTAGAATGCATTTCCAAAGCAAAAAAAAGTTTTAACCACCACTGAAATACATGCAAAATACCCACCTCTGAATTATTTGTTTGATGAATTCTATTTCAGTAGTGGGTGTAGCGTTTTCGATAGCGGTTAGAATCTGGTTTTGAAATACATGTACATTTGCAACCTCTTAAGAAATAAGCACTTCTGTTGCGGGCTTTTGAACAAATGTAGTTGCAACAAACCATTCTATTTAGAAATGTTGGCTTTAATTTTTTTTTATAATGTCTTAGATTAAACATAATAATGCACTTTTATTTAAAAAGAAATTGTCAAATATTTGGCAGTCGATCCTTGACGAAATCTACATTAAAACCTAGAATACTGTAAAATCAGATATTTTCATGGTAAAAATATTGGTTTATTGGACTTTTTTCGATTAGGATATCAAATATCCCAATGGCATCAGTTTAGGAATACTGAATCACAAACGTGTATAATCCTGTTTTAAAACATCATGATAAAATATCAGCTCAACAAAAAACAAACTTTTTTGCACAAAAAATAAAATAGAATTAATGTCCGAAAATCACAATGAATAGACAAGCAGAACTACAGATTTAGAAAAATAGGTATTTCCTTATGATTTTCCCCTTTATAATGAGACATTATTGCAGTATCTCCCAACACAATTGTTTAATTTTTAAGGATGCTTTCTCCGAAAGACCAGGTCAAAAGCATCAATAGCTAGGGATACTGAGGGATGCTTTCACTGAAAGACCAGGTCAACAGCATCTTCTTCTAGGGATACTGAGGGAAGCTTTCTCTGAAAGGTCAGGTCAATAGCATCTTCTTCTAGGGATAGTGAGGGATGCTTTCACTGAAAGACCAGGTCAACAGCATCTTCTTCTAGGGATACTGAGGGAAGCTTTCTCTGAAAGATCAGGTCAATAGCATCTTCTTCTAGGGATAGTGAGGGATGCTTTCACTGAAAGACCAGGTCAACAGCATCTTCTTCTAGGGATACTGAGGGAAGCTTTCTCTGAAAGATCAGGTCAATAGCATCTTCTTCTAGGGATAGTGAGGGATGCTTTCACTGAAAGACCAGGTCAACAGCATCTTCTTCTAGGGATACTGAGGGAAGCTTTCTCTGAAAGATCAGGTCAATAGCATCTTCTTCTATGGATAGTGATGGATGCTTTCACTGAAAGACCAGGTCAACAGCATCTTCTTCTAGGGATAGTGAGGGATGCTTTAACTGAAAGAACCAGGTCAATAGCATCTTCTTCTAGGGATAGTGAGGGATGCTTTCACTGAAAGACCAGGTCAACAGCATCTTCTTCTAGGGATACTGAGGGAAGCTTTCTGTGAAAGATCAGGTCAATAGCATCTTCTTCTAGGGATAGTGAGGGATGCTTTCACTGAAAGACCAGGTCAACAGCATCTTCTTCTAGGGATACTGAGGGAAGCTTTCTCTGAAAGATCAGGTCAATAGCATCTTCTTCTAGGGATAGTGAGGGATGCTTTTACTGAAAGACCAGGTCAACAGCATCTTCTTCTAGGGATACTGAGGGAAGCTTTCTCTGAAAGATCAGGTCAATAGCATCTTCTTCTATGGATAGTGATGGATGCTTTCACTGAAAGACCAGGTCAACAGCATCTTCTTCTAGGGATAGTGAGGGATGCTTTAACTGAAAGACCAGGTCAATAGCATCTTCTTCTAGGGATAGTGAGGGATGCTTTCACTGAAAGACCAGGTCAACAGCATCTTCTTCTAGGGATACTGAGGGAAGCTTTCTGTGAAAGATCAGGTCAATAGCATCTTCTTCTAAGGATAGTGAGGGAAGCTTTCACTGAAAGACCAGGTCAACAGCATCTTCTTCTAGGGATACTGAGGGAAGCTTTCTCTGAAAGATCAGGTCAATAGCATCTTCTTCTAGGGATAGTGAGGGATGCTTTCACTGAAAGACCAGGTCAATAGCATCTTCTTCTAGGGATACTGAGGGAAGCTTTCTCTGAAAGATCAGGTCAATAGCATCTTCAGCTAGGGATACTGAGGGAAGCTTTCTCTGAAAAACCAGGTCAATAGAATTTTCAGCTAGGGATACGGAGGGAAGCTGTCACTGAAAGACCAGGTCAATAGCATCTTCTTCTAGGGATAGTGATGGATGCTTTCACTGAAAGACCAGGTCAATAGCATCTTCTTCTAGGGATACTGAGGGAAGCTTTCTCTGAAAGACCAGGTCAATAGCATCTTCTTCTAGGGATACTGAGGGAAGCTTTCTCTGAAAGACCAGGTCAATAGCATCCTCAGCTAGGAATACTGAGGGAAGCTTTCTCTGAAAGACCAGGTCAATAGCATCCTCACCTAGGGATACTTAGGGAAGCCGTCACTGAGGGAGACTATAAATCCTTATCTCTCCCCGGATCTGCGATCTATCGATTCTCACTTATAACGTCAAGGAAGGACTTAGTTGTCAATAGTTGAACGTCGAGGGTCTACAGTGTAGCAGTCTCGACTCATACGAGAAGATATTCACCTTATTAATGTTTTTTGTATAATGAATATAAATTGATTATAAAAGATATGTTTATTACACAACACATTAATGAAGTAATAGAGATGTTTGTTTTAATAAGAGGATTATTCAATCATTACTCATATGTTTTTAATTTTTCTAAAAACAGTCAATTAAATTTTTACTTAATCTGAATAGTTACATGTAATAACAAATATTGGAAATAACTAGAGCCGAGCTCGTTGCAAAGCAACGAGTAGGTCTTCCGTTGGAGCTGTGGACAGGAAGTACAGACCTTGGGTCAAGGTTACTGCACTTTCTAATGTGAACAACCTTTCTTCTCAGTATGAGCCTCCAGTGAATCTTAATTACAAAGTTATGCTTAAACATTTTTTTCTCTGTCAGTGACCTTGATTTGCCAGAAAGTCCTTTCATCAGGGTCATGACACAACCTCCAATCATAAGTAATCTATGTTTCAAGAGCCTCCAATGATTTTCACTTACTAGTTCATAGCGTGGAAAAGAAAAGATTTCTTCTGTCAGTGACCTTGATTTTAACAGAATAACCTTGGCTCTTTGTCAAGACAAACCCTCAATCTGAAACAACTTTTAGAAATTCATAACCCTGACAGGAGTTTTACAACTTTTCTGTCATTGGCCCTAAATTTGTTAAAATGACCATATTTTAAGTCATCTGAAAACCAGCGGACTATAAGCAATTTGTATCAAGTATGGACTTAAACAAATATAGGCAGAATAAAAAAAAATACTGTTTTCTGAGTCAAAATCGTAAAAAAAACCTTTTTGTCACAAGCAATCTCTGTATCAAGTATGAGCTTACAGATATTCTCGATTACATATAAATGAATGCAACAAAACATTAATTTTTTCTCCAGTGACCTTGAATTTGCCGTACTATTGCCTTGAATAAATACAATGACACATCCTAGGATCACTTGAAATCTTTTTATCGAGTACAAGCTTCTGGTTTCTTTATGTTATAGCCTGACCTTCTGGGAAAGACTTGAAAGGGCAGACAAACATATGGACAGTTAAACAGACCGTTTAATTCCAATTCCATCCACACTACCCCCCCCCCCCCCAAAAAAAAAAAAAATACACAAACACTTTGCAAGGGAAAACTCTAGTCATGATTTGAAAAAAAGTAATCTTTTTGATATCAGGAAGCTTTCATAAATATGGTTTCTCATTCTTGCCCTGAAGTTCGTAAGAATAATACTTAATAAAACGACCCCTTCTTATTTTTTACTAACCGTTTTCTTCATTGTTTTCATTTTATATCTCCCAATGTCGCCCGCATAGCGCAGTGATTAGAGCGTCTGTTCTATGGTAGCGAAGTAAGGAGTTGATCCTTACGTCGTGGTTCGAATCCCACTGTGGGACGTGGGGACCTGTCCTTCCGATGAGACCGTATAAAACAAGGTCCTGTGTCGCTTTAGGTGCTGGCACAAAAAAGATCCCTCCCTGCTCAAAGGCCCTAAGTGCCGATTATGAGACAATTAATGTTTAACTATGGTGCCGGTTATGATTTTAACAGTTTAAATTAGGTCATAAAAGTGTGTAATTACATGATAAGTTTGTGATATTCAGTAGCTGCAGATTGTTATATACAAGTTCTTAAATTTTCGATTCCGTACATACGATGCGGGTTTAATACTACTTACATGTACATTGTATAACCTGCTACTGATATTTTTAAAATCACGGAACAAAATTAAAATGTTAACACACTATACTAATCATTTAAAGGTTTTGAATAAATGATAAAACAAATAAAATTCATTGCTTTAAAATCTTGAATTATTTTTTCAACTTGACTATTCAACGTGTAATATAAATAAGCATTGTGCAGCACAGAAGTCACTTATAAAGTTTAAACGTGCCGGAGATACTTATCGATGTTTAGTCCATTTCATTGAGTAAAATTCTGAATAGATCCTTATGATTCGGAAGATTTTCTTTAAAATTTAAAACTGAAATAGCCATGGTAAAAATCTGTGATGAAAAAAATGTGTTTGGGAAAATTTGTGTTGAAAACGGATTTATTTGTGTGTTAAAAGCGCAAATTAAGCTTGTGCATTTAAATCAATATTGGTTGAAGTAAAGTAACCGCAGATCGCCAGTCCTTACGCTATGAATAGTCAAAACGAGAGTAAAATTACACATTTAGCTAATGAACTATAAAAATTGAAGACTGATTAATGTACATGTAAAATAAATACCCCAGCGTTTTGTTCTAAAGTCAAACCTAAGATATTTTAAAATATTTTTGAAAGATTCGATTTACTTACAGAAAATAATGTTTTCCGTAAGTTTGTAAAATAAGATTTAAAATAAGATTTAACATTCGACCACGCTGTGTAAATTAATGTCAACAAGCGATGGAAAGAATGGTTGGTCGCGTAATTGTAAACAAACACAAAACCAAGATAGCTGTTTCAGATAAACATGTATCACGATCAAATTTAAAACGAAGATAAGCCAACATTATATGAACATATTAATCTCAAATATCCGATAATAATAATTTTCCATTAATTGTGAAATGGTTTTAATACACAATTATTTTGCCTATGACTGCGGGGTCAAAGGTTCGCCGCGGCGTGTCGCTTTAGATTTTCTTGGACGCGTGTAATCGCAAGATTACGCAATGGTCAACACACTTAAAATCTGAGTTCCAGGTGAATGTGAGAATTGCGCAGTCAATAATTTTGTATTATTTGACTCTTTGAAAGTTCTTTTTATGAGATCCGGGCGTGTATGGTTTTCGTTCATATTGTTTGTGTTCATATTTTAACGAAGAAAAGATACTCGTGCGTTTTTCTAAAACTCTTTCTCTTGGAAAGATCTTGATTAATAAAAGGAAAATGATGCCATTGAATACTCTGAACGGGAACCAAAGAACAAGTTTAGAACCTAATTAAATAAAAGAGATATGATACAGCATTGTAAAATATTTATTACTTACGGCAAGTTTACTTCAATTCTGCGCATAAAGACTACAGAGTTTTCCTTCAATAGCAAGATGAGAACTGTCTAGCTTTCATTCCTATAATACATAAGACTCAAACAAAATAATATTTTCATAGGACAGAGATAGTATTAAGATACAATTTTATATATTAAAAAGCGAATTTAACCATTTTGTGTTTTTATTTGTGTATAACTGTGGGTCGCTGGATTACCCGTCGATTGATTCCCGGTGACCGACTTTGCCCCGCGCTATCGAGGGAGGCGTGTTATATAATTGTAAACAAACAAGGTGAATGTAATCGGAAAAACGCTACCTGTTTACCTTGCCTGCTTACGCAATATTCCCGGCATAATCGAACAAAACATCATTTTCATCAGATCAAAAAGGTGTAAAAGAACAATTTTGTTAGTAAGATCTAGATCGAAATATTTACCATTTTTGAGTTATAAAGCAAAAACTTTCAAGTTCCAAAGAGCCCTAATTATAGGGGCCAGCCCCTTTTGAATATTATTATATGAAAGCCCTTCTAATTATGCACAACTTTTGTTCATTATGTCTTAACAAAATATTTTTAGTTTTCAAGATAAAAAGGAAAATACGTGTAATTTTCGTTCTTTTAGGCGTTCTAATTTTTGACCCCTACATAGCGCCATTGTTAATACAGAAATCGAAAAACAAAAACCGATGTGCACAACTTCAATCCTTCTGTTACCGAAAATCAGTAAAAATTCTGCTTCAGCTTTTGTGGTCTCTGAGCCTTTATCCGGAAACGAAAGCCTATAAATTTTCGTTTAAAGGGAAATAACTCAAAACCGGAAGTGATTTTTTGAAATTTTAGTCAGCATTCTGGTAGACTTTAGAAACGTCTATAACCTCTGAAAATTTGAGCGAAATCCGTTGAGAAATGAGTGAGATATGAAGCCTCAAAGTTGCGGTCTAGGAAGTAGAAGAAAAAAAAAGAATAATAATCTTTACCATCAGAATCAGTAGAAGGTCTTCCGTTGGAAACGGAAGACCTTAATAACAATAAGAACACGTCGCGAAAACAAGATATATTTACAATCAATAACAGAAGAATTTGTAGTTAGTTAGACGAACCACTTTAATTTTCAAGGTTATTTCAAACCTACGTGACCTTCTGGAATACGATTGTCGCGTTTTTATGTAACACTGTACACTAAAAATTTACAAAACATTTTTAAGCATCAATTTCAATAAAATATTAACTTTATTGAAAGTCACTCCTGTTTTTGAAATCCCTGCATTCAGGAGCAATGAACACAAAATATTATTAAGAAAATAATTTCTGAATTAATTACCACCAAACTGGAATCTTGTTAATAATGTACGATTGCTGATCCATTTAAAACTTGTTTTATTTTTATTTCTTACATTCATACATTTGACATTGTGTTATATATTTTGACATCACTTCAACAAGTTCGTATGCACTGTCTATTGCAATTAATTTTTTTTTTTAGAAATCTTCTATGGAACTAACAAAAGAAATTTCCGGGTATCATTTTCAATAAATATATGGCAAAGAAAAACCAGATTCATGTACACCCCTCATAAGAGCAAAAATATATTGAAACAAAATCTTATTAAAAATTCCTAAATTAGGTTTTCTTACCCTTCCTGTGTATAAAGCTGTGACTTGAAAAGATTGAAGTGAGTGAACTTGATTTGTACTCTTTCACCGGGATTAGCGTAAAAGTCATATGTACACGTGACGTCAGCAGGGTATTGATTTGAGTACCTAGGACTGCTGATGGTCCCTGCAGGGGAGGAAGCCTGCGTTATATTTCTGCTGCATTTGTGTACTGTAACAAAGAAAAAATACATTACATTACAAAACATATGTAGTGATATTTTGTGAAGAAATGATGAGCATCGGTATAAATAGATTGTTTTTTCTTACATGTAACAATAGGAGACGAAGATATACTTTTGTAATTTCAAATTTTAATTTTATGGGATGTTACAGGGAAATATTTATTTTCTTGAAAGTCCATATATGGATGCTAACTGTCCCTGTCGAATATCTGGACCTGAAAAATGTAATTGGACTTAATGGCAAAAACCACAAGGTATCATTATTCGATTAATTGGTTCCTCTAGATGGTCTAACAAATGAAGATCATCACTGACTGTAGAAAGAAAACTATAAACGAATTGTATGTATTATTAGCAGCATCTTTTATTTGCGATTCATCAGTTTGTATTCTATCCTTGCACACGACTAATTTTGACAAATGAGGAAATACTTCACACCATTACGCCAGGAAATCATTGGTTCTCGACAAGAACTATTCGTGACTTTAAAAGGTCGCGAAATTCGAACATTTCTTGCAAGTGAATAAAAGTTAGTTCACAATATCAACGATCAATAATTTTGTTGTTCTTTTGGATTCCATTTTCACCTGAGCATAATATACATGTGTGAAGTAAACACGTCCCAAAGTATGTGATGAACATGAGGCCAAAAATTGTAACTTTTGCAGGAGACAATAGCCATTTCCGGTTTATCTTTCACTAATACTATACATTTTTTTCAATCTGTTTTCAAAACACATGCATTTGTTTTCTCAGTTTTATTGTATGGACATTGTTATTATCAAACATTCCTTTGGTTATACAGTCATGTATTTACTTTTTTCAGCTTTAAAAAATATGCATTACTTAGCAGTTTCGCAAGAATATCAGTCGTTCTGGAGCTCAGTGCTTGTTTTCATTTCCAATAAAGTTTTTTTTTTTATCTAGCCATAACATTATTTGAATCCTTTAGGAGTATCCATTTCTTTCGAATGTTATCGATTCTGATTATAGATTGTATAGGTTCAGACGGGCCAAGATGTTGGATAATCGCCCCAAAGATGGCCATTTTGATCTTGTGCTATACGGAGATTCAAGACAATTAGATTCTCCAAGGGGTCATTGTTGACCCTTCTTGTAGAATACAACTCATATAATGATCAGAATTAAGCTTTCTTAGACATGCGATGGAAACAATGAAACTAGGATCCCAAGGACAACTTGTATCTGTGAAAATCATACACACATTCATTGCACGTTTAATTTTATGGATTAAATATAATAGCGAAAGAATTTAATTCGAATTTTGTGTCTTTTTCAAAGAAATAATGTCGAAGTTCGTAACATGCATGCATATATACATGAAGCATATCTTTTTTCCTTTACTGTTGTTCAATAATGAGATTATTTTATCAATTTACATGCATCTCCGAAAATTCTACAAACATACACGTTATTTCATATTATCAAATATAGCGAAAGAATTTAATAAGAATTGTGCCTGTCTTTCGAACTAAAAGATAACCGTTGATCTCAGTAAAGCCAAGACTCAGGCATAGACCAAATGCCGTGATCTTTTCACATCACATTCTTCCCTCATTGATTTTGGGAAGATCGAGAGAGTAGAATAAATCGCTTAGTGTGTATCTCTCTACATTCTGTCCTCTGGGATTTATGTAATGAGTATTCATTATTTATCGTGATAGAACAAAAAAGAAACATTTTCTTTCCAGCTTAAGCAGTGTGACGGTGATATCTACAAAATGATAAAAGAGTACTATGTAACCCAATTAAAAAATATTCAATACAATTTAATCGTTTAGTGATTTGAGTGTGCTTGATAATTGTGGGCCATTTTATTCTTTTTTAAATCCAGGACAGGTAAAAGTAAAGGTTGTACAAATTTCATAATGTCAATCAATAGATATCTTGCACTGTCTTAAAAAAACCTAAGGAACATACAAAAGGTTTCTAAACGTATGGCAAGAAAAAAAAATTGTGGGGGGTTAATATTTGTTGTTTTCGAGGTATGGACAGACCCACGAATTTATGACCACCACAAAATGTTATATTTCATATGCATAACTACTACATTCTCCAACCACGAATTTTAATCCCCACAAGCCAATGTTTTTGCTTCGAACCTCGAAAATATGACCACAGGAAAATATGTGATTTTACAGTAAATAATTTTTCTATTTTCAGTGATCATCCGAACTATACTAGACAGTGAAGTTTATAACCTATTTAACTTCATGCGTTACTTTGCTTAGAATACACGGAAATACACTGTAATAAGTGTAGTTGCATTTGTTGAAATTCAATTTTCTACGATTTAATGAATTATTAAAAAACATAGAATTTAAATGAATACTGATGCAAATGGAATATCTGTAAAAACAGGACGTTCACATTTTATCAATTAAGTTGATGGTTTATAAATCAATAAATATCAGTCCCCAATTGATAAAATGATTGCGAGCTAATATTTATAATTATAACAACCATACTTTACAGACAGGATAGGTAAATAGTTTTGTTACAAAATACTATGGAATCACTAATTTTCACGGGAGTTTAGATTCCGTTGTTTTCGATGAAGAAAAGAGAAGGGATCCACGAACTCTTGTGCACCATGAAATGTAAAATGTCACATTATATAAATGCTAAACAGATCTTCATTCGTGAAATCAAATTCCCACAAACCAACTTTTTTTTTCAAACCACGAATATTTGACTCCACGAATATACGTGATTTTACAGTACTATTCAATAAAACTGGTATAGGTCGACCAGTGTTTTTCCATAAATATTTATCAAAACTTTGCTCTTTTAATACTTTAATTGTCTCTATTATATATTTGTTTATTTTATTTAAAAATACTTTTCCTAAAGTGTTAGTTTTAGATTTTTGAAATACTTTATAAAATATATGGAACTAGAAATTGCAAAAAAAAAAAAAAAAAAAAAAAACGATTTCCTACATGTAGTAATAGTTAAAATCGAATCAAAAATTAGAAGTAAGGTGTGAAATATGAAGTAGCGAGTTTATCAACCTGAAACTGCAAAAGTGATATGCTAAAATTAGTAAATTTGTACCAAAATAATAACTTGTACACTGATTGTCACATGAATCTTACACAAATAATATAATCATGAAGGAAGTTCAGATTGTAATAGAAAGTAACGAAAATTCAAATAGTTATAGAGAGTAAAAACGCATGATTTTGCAAAAAACGCTTGAAAACTTTATATATACAATTGAAAGATAGATAGAAAACTTACTGGCTGAAAACTTGGCTTGTTGTTCGTACTGATAATAACATCTCACAAAGTTCAATAATGAAAACAGCCAAAGTGATCTACCAACGATAAACATGATCACACACAGCCCTAAAACACCGAGTAATAGCAAGAGAAATAGTTATCCGGCAAATTGTCAGCGTTGCAAACAGTCCCCGTTTACCATAATGACACCGGATGCAGAAATCAGTGATGGAATGACAGGAGAATGTATGAAGATAGACACACACTGATAGAGAGCTATAATCTAGTCTTCCACGTAACACTGTCCATTAACAAACACCGTACCGGCTATACAATACTTCAAAAAGACTTCATTCGGAGAGAATATCCAATTTCCTCGAAATCGATCAGAACTTGCCCAGCTGAAGCCAAAATATGACATTTGTAATAAACGGTATGACTTTCACATCTCCACTTCCACTCACTCTCTTTAACTATTTTCCCAATTTCCCCAAACAAAGAGGTTCTAAAAGCCTGGCCTGGTGTAAGAGTAATTATTTTGTCTTTCAGTCGTGCAATAAAAAAGGATGACTTTTTTCAGTCTCGATCAATTCGAGAAAAGAAACTATAGCAAGTCCAAGTTATTTTGTAATTACAGATTAGAAGTGTGTCTAACAACCTCTCGTGTGAGAAGACTGAAATCGGTAATCTGTTTTGTGGCCCCCTAATTTCTTGTCTGGAACTAGAAATTACCGTTATTGAATTATGATAGTGATGCAATGCATAATTGAAAATTATCATGTTGTTTTCTTGGGAAATATTCAAAGCACTATATAATCTTGAGGACGAAAGCTTCAAAATTTGCAGAAAATACAGATCATGCATTATTATTTTTTTCCCATTGCATTTCTTGGACAATTTTCTTGTGGTAATATTTTTCTTAAAAAATAAAAGATATAAATAATTTAAAGGACTGGAAATAAAATAAGGATTTTCAGCTTCATTTTTTCCCCAGTTAAAGTAGATATCTAACATTTTATAACTATTTAAAACAATGTATAATGCATATAATCTAATTTTAATCCATTTTCTCATATATTCTCAGTGTAGATTAGTTTGATAATTGGTTTGTCTAAAATACACCATTGTCCAGCAAAACTTAATAACGATAGAATATATTTTGCAGAAAAAAATGAATAACCAGAATGTTGACCTAAGTATCTGTACGTAACCCTTCAAAATTTATCCATCAACTAGAATAAGTTTGATTTGATAATTATGTTTTATTTATGGATGCGAATTTTTTAAATATTGTATGTGTCTGAAAGTAATAAGTGAAAACTCATTGAAATCGTAATGTTATTCATTTTTACAAAAAGTATCATAGTTTGCCTATCTTTTATTAAATACGACTGGAACGATTCTACGCACATTAAAGGTCAGACAACACGTTACTCAAAATGTATTTTGTCTCTTTCGTTACTCCCCCCCCCCCCTAAAAATTTTTAAAAAAGAAAGATACAGTCTAGTTGTGCTATCAATTTACTATATATTTCCAATTGTTATTTCCGTCTAATTCCGTTAATTTATATAAAAAAATATCGTATTCCGTCTGTAAAAATCTCATGACAAGTACTTCTTATTTGATTACCAGTGGAAAATGAAGATTTAAAAAATACTGAAAAAATCACAATAGAAATGAAGGAAACAGGAAGCTTAAATATATAAAAAAAATGCAAACATTCTAAATATTTAAATGTAGGAAATTAATATTGAAACCAAAATATGAAGAATTCAATATTCATAATTTGATTCAATATTTATAAATTCAATTTCAGTTGCATTATCTGTTAATCAATGACTGATTTTAATATATATTTTTGATATATGGGTGGGTGGTGGATTTGTAATTTGAAAACAAAATAGTCAAAACAATAAAAGTAACTTATATATATATATATATATATATATATATATATATATATATATATATATATATATATATATATATATATATATATATATGTAGCATATTTTTCTTTCTGAACTGTTGGTTAATAATGAGATGATATTATTAAAATGCAACATGCATCTCCTAAAATGATTAATCCTACACCCATACGCGTTATTTTGTATTAAGAAATATAGCGAAAGAATTTAATTATAAGTGTTTCTGTCTTGCCAAATAAAGGATATAAGATCACAGTAAAGCCAAGAGTTTAGCATAGACAAATGTCGTGATCCCATTCTTCACTCATCGATTTTTGGTAGATTGCTAGGGTAGAATAAAATGCCTAGTGTGTATCTCACAACTTCCTTTGCTCTAGGATTTTATGTAATAAGTATGTATTGAATTCAAATCAGATATTGAATACAATTTGCGATGGGTAGTATAAATTCTAATGGTTAAAGTAAAGGGCTATATGGATTAATCAATAATAATGAAATTTGTTTTTGTTCTTCTACTACAGCGTTATCGTAAGCAATTTATGATACTGTTTCTCTGGCAACGGAATTATTCAACAGAAAATGCAATAAAATTGGTAAAAAGAACTGTATTCACATGGGGTCATGAAATAAATCAAGTTCTTTGAAAAGGATTCACCCAGCCAATAAATCTATACAAGATTTGGAATATGTATTATCAGAGCAATTGCCTTAAAAAGTTAAAAAAGAAAATATAAATCAATGCCAGTTTTTATACCAATAAGTACATGCACTTACCGCGCAAACATATCCATATTTAAATTAGTGTGACAAGAATACTTTTTTGAAAAAAAAATGTAAAAGCTTCATAATTATTCTTCTAAAACATATATAACACTGTTGATTAGCAACTGCATTTGAATCTTGCTAATTTGACCTTTTCTCCGTCTATTTAATATTGATAAAAAATAATAAAGATTATCTGATTTAAATCTGATACAGTTCAATGATGAAAACATATTGAAGGATTCGAGGAAAAAAATCAAGCTTAAGGTAGTATACAATAGATAGGCCAAAGTTTTCTGAAACTTTGCTATTTTGTTCTTGGATACAAAATCTTTCTTTATATATTATATGAAAAATATTCAACTACACATTTTTTGCCCACATAGTCTGAAATATGGCCTATCAGACCCCTGTAAGATGATTGTGAAATCAGACATTCGACTTCAGAATGAGCCTTAATTTAGAATTATCAATTGATCTATTGTAAATTTGTGTAATACTTTTAATAAAGATAAACTTTTTGTTACTTTAAATCAGCAAGTCATATTGATACTGGAAAATTTGAGTAAAATATTAAGTAAAAATAGAACATACGTAGCGTCGGAATTGAAAATTCACATGTAAATATCCGACAGTTTAAGTTTTCTTAAGAGAAAATATATGATTCAAATTTTACAAAAAATCAACAGAATGATTCAAATGGGTCCTAGAATAAAATGTGTAAAAATAAAGAAAATTGAACCAGTGGTTTCAGATATTTTGGCAATAAAAGAAAATTAAATGGCAAAAAACTAAAAGATTCAGTAGATGACGTCATAATATTTGACCTTTGACCTCTTGATATGACCTTGACCTTTGTAGTACATAAAGAATGAAGACTCCTTATATATGTGTCTAAATATCAGTCCTCTACTATTTATGGAACAAGAGTTACACTGCATTTTATAACAGCTTGTTACATGCTTGTTTATTGCACATAGATAGAGTAAACACATTCCAAAATGTAAGCTTCCAAGTGTCCAATATAAAGGAAATCTCTGATTTTTTCACAAAATATGACGCAGACATGCCAAACCTTATCATTTTTCTTTTAGAGATCATTCATTGTTGTCAATATAGTAATATTATTCTTTTTTTCCAGTACATTTTAAGAAATGGGTTAAAATAGAATCCACGGGTGTTTTGTCCTACCTTAAATTAAACGATGGCTGAACAAAAATGATAATATTCACACTAAAGATAGATTGTAGTATTTCTCTCAGTTTATTCGATACACTAGATCATGTTCTACATATAAGCAAGTTCTAAAAGGAGTGAAATTACTGACAAACACGTTGCTGAAACAAGAATATAGCAGTCTCGTTTAAAGTGACCATTTTGCAAGTTCTATGGTCGATACATTGACCTTGTCTACAGATACAATTTATCATAAAGTATATGCCGACTGACGTTTTTCATACTTATTATATACACACTGAATTGTCGATGGAAGTTTCCGTTTCTCACGTGAGATCATAACAAGGAGCACACGGCGGGTGTGACCGTTCGGCAGGGGATGCTCACTCCTCCACGGCACCTTTTCCTACCTCTGATGTTTTGGAGGTTTGTGTTTAATCTGCTCCAATTTTGTATTGTTTAATGGAGCTTGAATACTGCTCGTTATCTCCATATATTTCATTTGCGAATTAAGTACCCATAACGTCCAAGGAACGTGCAGAATGATTTTAAGTGTGATTGTTGATACATGTACTACTGTTAATCAAATCATTTGCCACAAAGGTGTTCAAACAAGTTGATTAAAAGTAGTGAACGGTATTGTGTATCGAATAAATTGGGAGACAAAGAAACGCCATAAACAGGTGATAATAGAATATACGGCTTAATGTTTCAAAAAGTGTTCTTTCCAAGATAATGTTTATCACAGTTTATGCTTTAGGAAATACGTAAAACGTGATCCGAGCTTTAACTCTGAATGTTCAGATAGTGTATCTTTATCAAACCGTGATAGATTAGGGATATTGCTAGGTAAAACGAAACGGGGGTATCATTTTAAAAAATCAAATAATTGTTTGGAACACATTCCTGTCTCCTGACAAAGAAAACATTCTACTCTGCATGCAAAAATTTTTTCTGATTTTGACATAAAACACATATATTTAATACAAAGGACACTTTCTTCTAACTATAAAAATTAAAATCAATAAAAATCTACGTAAATTAAAAAAAGAGACAATTGAATTACAATAAAATTTTACATTAATTATTTCCTGTATTGCTGTGACCTTTTATCAATTTCCTATAGTACTGAAAATCAAGATATAACTGGGATCCGTCTGATACTAGTTTTAAGCTTAGAAGCACTTGCAAAGTTGTAACATCTTAAAGAGGATGACTTTCAGGTTCCGCGTCAAAAAAGATTGGTTTGTGATATAAATGAATTATGGATGTAACAAACATGTTAATACAAAAGAATCTTGAAATTTAAAAAAAAATATCATAAGACTTTTTACATGTGGACGGAACAAAAAATGTAAATACAAATACATATTTAACAGGGAAGCTTTCATTTGATATGCATTCTAGTTGAATGCATATGTCCCAGGTGCTTAAAGTCAATTTTGTGTCCAAATAATGGACTGCTTCTTCCAAATGCAAGAACGATATTCTAGCTAACTATTATCATAAAAAGCATAAAAAAATCCAAAAATAATACATAAGAAAATGTTATTATACTGTAAGCTGCATCAACCACAAACCTCAAGTTGATAAAAGCATTTTTTTCAAATACAACAGTGTTTATCCTTAACCCATAACAGAAGCATGCCATGACCAGTATGTGTTAGTAATGTTATTGTTCTTGCCTTAATATTACTAGAGAGTTAGCAACTAAGAACAGCAACTCGCACAAAATGTTAGTCCATTGCAATGTAGAATTTCTGAACATTTTGTAATACCTGACTTTTCTGCTGAAAGGCAATAAAAAAGATTATATATTTTGTTCAGAGTTTTTCGTTAATAAAAAAACTAATAAGAATATGTGATCAAAGACCATTAAGAAAATATAATTTGACCACTACTTTAATGCATTACTTCCTTAATCCTCGAAATGCTCATGCAGAACGGAAAATCTAACCAAATAATGTGCTTACTGAAAGTATTGAAACCCTTTAATACCCATAATACTGTTCATATTTATCAGAAACCTGAAAATTATCACAGGAAATATTTGATTTGTTCTCTGTCAAAGATTGCCTTCTATTACACTGATCACCTCTTCAAATCTCCTACTCTAACTTTCTATGATAACAGTTGTTTGAGGTACAAGTATATAAAATAATTGTATCACTTACATAACATCTTTGTCGAAAAAAGCTCACGAATCTGAATCAAACATGATAATTCGGTAAAAATACCAAAAAGGTAAAATTATTATAATTTAAACAGCATTAGTGCTAGCATGTCTCACAAAAAACATTCATAAATAAAAATGACATGTCTGTGTGATTAACAGACAGGTTTTATTAAGAGAACCAAGTATTTATAATTCACATTCATTAAATAAGTTAAAAAACAAAATGCGAGATTGGAAATTTTAGCAACCTTGTTTTCATTTTTTTAAATTTTCGTCTCGGTAGTTTATTGTAAAATCGTGAAAAAGATAGTTTGTTGCAGGACGAAAAGGACAATTCAGGTGATTTCGACCAAACATCATTTGGTTTACTATAATTAACCATTTATATGTTTTATTCCTAGTATCAATTAATATTCCTATCATTGGCTTATCTCAGCACAACATTCAACACGTAGATAAAAAGTACTCACCAATAGAATCTATAGATTTATATTCATAGGTAGCTGCAAATCCTTTCTTGTTGGAGTTCGATTTGGAATGGAAATACACACTTAAATAGTTATTATGTGATGTAATGGTAGGAACACTTTTAGTGCCACAGATGAACGCTATCCTCTCTGTTTTATTTCTGTTTTCAAACAACTCAATGTAGTCTTCATCCTTCTTGCAGCTTAAAAGAGACACAAAGGTACATGTAGTTAGTTAAACATCAATTATATGTCAAATATTGAGTAATTACCGGTCGGCAGGGTGCTCACTACTTCATGGCACCTGATCTCACCTCTGATGTTTGGAGTTCCGTGCACATGATTGCCCTGGTCCTATTTTGTATTGTTAAATGGATACTGTTCGTTATCTCCATGATTTTATTTTAATTTTTGGTTTTCAATTGAATGAACTCTTTTAAGAAATACACTAACTATTGGACAATATAATACTTTTTCAAATGTCCTTCAAGAAGTTTATTTCATGAATAGTAATTAGAGCGTCGCGAAAAAAATGGTATATAAATGTCTATATTATAACATACAGTATGTTTACCAAATTTCATCATACTTTGTATTTATTTTTACTTTTAAAACTCAATGGCATGTGTTTAATCTATTGATTACCCCTTACCTCAATGACGTTACCGGGAAGTGCGTCTTACGTTTAAGACATTAAGAACATGTGTTTATACAGATATAGATATACTTGCTTTTTTTTAATAGTTTTATATATGAGAAAGCATTTTCAGTTGTAAATTTACCTAATTAAGCGCTGTACACTAACATAGAAAACATTAAAACTATATAAAAGGAAAAAGATATACTTACTAACCTTGAGGCGTTGCCCGACAACTGGAAAACAAGAAAGTTAATCTGGATAATTTCCCCCGGTCGTGCAAAGAACTGGTAGCTGCAGGAGGACCAAGGAGGGAAGTTTTGGGGGTATCGAGGGGAGAAGAACCTCCCTTTGTTGAGGCTGTTGTCGTTATGTTGGTCTGTGTAGGAACATGTATTTGGATCCTTCGAAACTGGCTTCATTGTTGTCTGGAATTCCTCTTTTACAATAGTAAGAAGAAAAACAAAATGAAATGTCTTATAATATACCGTATATACTCGCCTATAAGTCGATTTTTTGGGAGTTAAATTTTAGCCCAAAAGTCTATGTCCGACTTATAGACGAGTCATAAAAGGATTGGCATTTTTCTGGTCGGCGAAACATAGTATTCTATGAACATGGTTATCGTTGAATAAAGTCTGGATATATCATATCATTAGGTTTTAAGTATTCTAAGATTAAACGTAAAGTACAAGTATTTATATACGTATATCTAATACTTTTTTCTTTATCTTAAGAATGCATTATTTATTTTTCTATGATTAAAAGTAAAATATCAACTAAGTTTCTAAAAATATTGATTGAAATCAGGTTAAAAACATTAGAACATTTATTAGAAATTGTCATCTGATTCTGACAAAAAGTTGGTCCGACTTATAGGCGGGTCAATGGCAAATCCTCGCAAAATAACCGAAAAAAATACAATCGACTTATAGGCGGACCGACTTATAGGCGAGTATATACGGTACGTAAACTGTTTGATATGTTCGTCAAATTATGAAAAGAAAATGAGTTTTTTTATGACTTTTTTTCGAAAAGAAGATCTGTGAGGCATAGAAAGAAAACATGTGTTCCCATTGCTCATGCCCTTGAATATGCTTAGTAATAATGTTGAACTCAGTTGTTTTATAATATTTTGTTGAATGATTTCTTCACTTTGCACAAAGCATATTTAAATTTCTTTTGATATTTCTGTTATTAGATAGTTACTTATGAAATTCATATATCTTACTTGAGTCTACAAATGAAAACTTTCCAGCGAATCCTTTATAGGAGTTATTTAGAGTCCCGTCTGGTGCTGTATGGAACTCCATATGTAGACTCCTACCCTTCGAATAAAAAGTTTTCTGAGGAAGGTCCGACATGTTTCCACATAAGTCGTATTCTGAAATACTTTGTTCATTCACTTCCGCTCGTTCGTCTAAATAGAGTTTGAGAAAATCTGGACACCTGCATTATAAACAGAATTAAGTTCAGCTAAACAAAACATATGAAAAAAGTTTGACACAATTTACTTGTATTTGAAAATATATTCTTCAAAAATGAAAAAAAGGTATTAGAGTTGCAATCATATTTTTTAAAGTTGTGTGTAATAACATAGATTGTAAATGAAAGATAATTTTCACTATATTGCTTAAAAAAAATCAATTTCAATGGAAAAAAACATGTAGACTAATTTATTGATTAAAAGTGATCATCAAAAGGGATTACATCAGCTACTCTTTTTCAAGCTTATAGTTGATTTAGAAACATAATGTTTTATTGCTTCCTGCAAAAATGTTTATGTCTTCTTAATTAATTGGTACGCAAAACTTGACAAGAGAATGTATGATCAACTTTATCCGATTAAGGCTGCTGATCAATAAAGTCACACAATACATGTGTATACTTTAAGAAAGAACTAATATAATTTCATATAATTTTGTTTAGAAAAACAGTTTCATTTAGTACTGTTTTTTACTCCTTATTCATTGTTCATGTTATTTTGTCATAGTTTTTAATAATTTTAATTATTTATATAAGCTGATTAAAACATAATTGTATGGGTATGACCTCTACTTTTAATGAAGGTGATTGCTTTGTCCTTTATATGTATTTGTTATATTGTTAAAAGATTTATGATCTTGATCATATGTTATTCCCTTCAAGTCCATGCTAAAAGATGATGTACTCACAAAAATCACCTTATTCACGTAAGGATCTAATATATATTTAATTTATTGTATGAATTAAGCCTAAGTTAAAACTTTTTTGGGATTTAAATGAATATAAGAAAATATATATTACATGTAAATTTAGATTCATAGGACAATAAATCGTGAATAATTCACTTTATTATCAGTGTCCCGTGCATTACTGAAGTTGTAAGCTTCATACTGGTATTTATAGTAAGGTATTGAAATTATGAATCTTGGGTAAAATATAAACCAGATTATTAGTCTTTCAGGGTTCTAGGACTGTCTTCTAGTTTATATCGAAAGTTAAAAGAAAATTTAGTGAATAAAAAAAATTGTAAACTGTTTTCCTTTTTAATAAATTGAGGTAATACAAATGAATGCATAATGAAAAGAAATGCATAACAAATTCCAAATGAATAAATAAATAAGTGAATAGATAAAATATGGGCATAATTTAAGAATAAGAATTTTGCAATGATATTTGAAAGTTACAATGTAATTGTGATAACTTGCGTATTTCATCTACTGTTTAAAAGGTTAAAAAAAAAAACAATGTCTAAAGATATAAGTGTACCTTCCTACCTTTCAGTTTTTTTTTATTTATCAAGAATGGATATCTATTTCAGATGTACAATGGATAAAGTTTAAAATGAACATATAGATATTGTTACCTATTATTCACTTTAGGATGAAGGTTGAAGTCAATAAACGTAATCTCTACTGTCTCATTTACATCTCCAATAAAAGAGAAGAGAATACAGATGATTCCTCTGGGGTAGGTCTGAGCAGAGGTATAATTAGGGGAGTGGAAGGTCCGGGACCCGGGCTGACCTGTACTCTGGTAGACCACACACTCACAACCTGAAAAATATTCAATAACGTCGTCATTTAAATATAAATATTGTCATAATTATGAAAGTTAATTAAAATATTGTAGAAAAAATTATGAAAATAAATTTGAATCAGAGAAATTCTTTTACTTAGAAAAATATATTTATATAACTTTTAGATTTTCTCTTGTTTATACATTTTTCTTTTGCTTTGAATACAAACCTGCGTGAATGTGATGAAATGAAAAAGACATAAGATGCATCAGTATTATTTTAAGTATACGGCTTTTGACTTTGGTGTGATGATAAAGGTAAAAGTCTATGAAAATCATATTATTTTATACCTATATAAATTCAATTTGCTTTGAAAGTAAAGCTACATTTAATCACATGAAACAAAAAAGTTTATTTTGCATGTTTAATTTATTCTAAACCATTTTCTTACTTAATGTAAAAGGATGTTACCATTTTGATTCAAGAGTAAGTAACTCTAACTTTTATTTAAAAGAATAAGCTTTAGGTAAGAGTTACCTTTCTTTTTAGCACGCTCGTCAAATGAGAGACAACCTCTCTCAGCCTCTGATGAAATGGAAGCAAATGACGCAGAAAAGATGCAACAATTAAAGTAATGGATAGTATTGGGATAGTATTGTTCCTTCTTATCACGTATTGTTAATCCACAAATTGAATACAACATTTGAATTACATTGCACTTAATTTAACACTTTTATACAAATATATACAGCTTGCAGAGTGAGAGTTGTTCTTTTTCGTGCAAGTAGGTCGATGTCGATTTGTCAAAATGCATCGACATTTCGGTTTTTTTCTCTATTAAGGATAGAAGATACAAACATTTTTCTTTGGAGGAGACTAAAAATAATGTAACAGGTTTGGAAAAGTGTATAACTCTTTGAATACTTTTTTTTGCCTTTAACTTGAAAAATGAAACAAACTAAGAAAATGAAAATATCAGTTAATAGACTTGGTCAATTTTAGTTAATACTTTAATAAAATTACAACTTTGGACATATTACACTCAGTAAAGGTTTACAGATAAACACATGTTTTAGAATATGTTAACTTATTGCTAAAAGTGTAATACAAAGTTTACAAAAATATACCAAGCCAGGTAAATTTTATTAGGAAATGCAAAATGTTGAAAAATCAGAAAAATTACATAGGCTGATTTTCCTTTTCCTCATAAAATTTACCTGGCTTTGTAAAGTTATTTTTTTTTAAAGTTTGTATAACACTTTTAGCACCAAACTAACATATTCTGAAATGTGTTTTAATCTGTAAACCTCACCTGAACGTGCCTGGTCCATATTTGTAATTATACCCCCGCTTAAAAAGTGGGAGGGTATACTGTAATCGGTATGTCCGTCCGTCTGTCTGTTACGCTTTGGGGTACCCATATTTTATCCGCAACTCCTTTTATACCACTGAGTGAAATTTAATGAAACTTTCACAGAATCTTTATTACATATTGCCATTGTGCACCTCCTATTTTACTTTTTGATCCGACACATATTTTGGGTTTCCTGACCACAAAAACAAATTATAACCATGCATATCTATCATTCTCATTGCTCATAGTACCTCTAGTTTTATTGAAGTAACTAAAGTTTTCTAAAACTAAAGTCTATTTCATTTTTCAAATATAAGGAGAAGAAATTCAAAGATTTATCCACTTTCTAAACCTGTGACATATTATTTAGTCTCCTCCAAAGAAATACAAAATACAAATGTTTGTATCATCTGTCTGTAATACTTTAATATACAGTATTTTAGATATAGCTATATTATGCTTTGAAAAACCCAATGCTTGTTAAACATTTTAAACATGAAGCTTCTTTTTTCATGAACACTTTGTGATGTCGTATTCAAAGATTTTAAGTATGCATTTTCTTTTTATTTGTTTTTGCTCTGCTCCTATTTTGTATTATTTTATGTACTTTTGATATTGAATACAGATCATTATCTCCATATCCTTCTTTCTCACCATTATTTTAGTCACCATTTTCATACAAAAAACAAAAAAGTCATACATATTATTTTCGTAGTAAACAAACATGTTTTGTTTTAATTGATGAATTACACATATACAGTATATCAAAACCATCACTTCCATACGCCTATGATTTTTTATGTAACATATAGAGCGTTTGCATTTTAGACACCTTTTAAGTCTAAATGTACATGTATGTTAATGCGTCCAAGTATACTATCAGGTCATTGCATGTCTTTAGAAGGATTTTAATTGATACATTCTTTTTACAATAACAGAGGGTAAAAAGTATTTAAGGGGGCCGACTATAGTTTCCATTGCGCAATATTTCGCGCATCATAGTAAAATGAAGCGTATTTACTGTTTTAATGCAACTTTTTTCGCTTAATTATTAAAATTAAACAAAATTAAGAAATTATAGGTATAAAAATGGAATTACAATTTCATATAACTGATGTTTTAACCGATTTTGCAATTGATAGGTAGGTTGACGTCGTTGCAGTGTGTTTTTGACGTTATGATAATCTGTAGCTCTTAAAGAAAGGGGCAATCAAAATATTATTAAAGAAAATGTAATAAACATACGCTCTTGAAATTTGAAACATAGATATTTGAGAATATCTCCAATATTTTTATTATGTTTTCATGTGAATCCATTGTGTACGTCATATTTTGTAGTACTCTATAAAAATAGTAAAATTTGCTAATTTTTTGCATTTTGAGATGCCCCCTCTGGTAACAAGACGGTAGAATTTTGTGTTTCTTACGTAGATTGTATAATATAGTATTACTCATCAAATATTATAGTTTGAACAAAATGTCTATTGTAGTATTTGTATAATTTGCTAAAAATTGGCATTTTCCTATATAATCCTATAGTAAATGTACCTGTATTTTGAGACGGTCCCTCAAAAATACCTGGACGGTAGATTTCCCCCAAACTTTGCATGTACACTGAAGTTAATATAAGTCATATATGGTATAAAAATGAAGAGTTTCGCTATTGTAGTTTTCACACAATAAAACTATAGTCGGCCCCCTTAAATGTAAAAGTATGAGTTGGGAATGCTTACCATTATAGTGGCCTGTAAATTTTTGAATGACATTAAAAAATTTGAATATCTTTCGAACACGAATTATCATCTAACACGAGAGGTACAAATCTTTTATTCTTTTATTCTTAAGATATAGGGACTCTAGAACCTAATGGGTACATCAATGTTGAGTTTGATTCAAAACAGATTTAGTTAAATCTTTGCTGTTCGATCATTTAGACTTTCTGCCAGGGTAGACAATAGAAATAGAGAATTTATCTGTCCTTCCTACCTCTAGTATACGTTTCGTTTTTTTTTTTCCAAATTATTCTTCTTATTTGTTTAAGGATCGATGTTAACTTTTGTCATTAATATCAATGAAATATATGTAGTCAACGAACAATATTTAACTCTTTACAACTTACTGAACTGCTATGCAACTTACTTAATGTTCACGCCATATAAATAAAAATTTACCATTTCCCCGCAAATACCTTAAAGCATGATACACATTTCTCTAAAATTAAGGGGAAATAATACTATGACAATTTATTTTAATACAAAAAAACTTTTCTTATTTAATGAGATTTTTGCAAGCATAAAATAAAAGGAAATTGGCATTCAACTAAACATTAATTGAATTTTCTAAAGTGCGTGAAAATGCGTGATTGCGGAGAAACGGTATATGCGTGATTTTGCGATAGAAATAGGAAATGGTATATGCGTTAAAGTGCAAGACTTCGTGGAAGGGGGTTAAGCTCAAAGTCCATCCATTGTCGATCAAATTGTTTTCCCATTAATTGGAGATTTATCTGATTTTTTCCTACAATTTAGAGAAAAACTTAAAGTGAAAATTGCATTACCTGCTACATTGAGTAGCAATGCAATCATGATGCCAAAGACATTACACTATATTTTTCCTTCATTAAAACGAAACCTTTGGTTAATCCAAAGACGTATCATAAAATGAATCTTTGTTATCGGTTTTATAAATTCTCAGCAGTTCCGAAGAAATAACACAAGATTATACAAAATTGCTTTGACACTATTTAAGAAATCTGAAATCGACGAGTATAAAACAAATGACCAGCGGATAATATGAGTGCTTCTGACGGCGGGAAATGACTTTGCAGACGACCTATTCCCCAGACTTCAGATCAATAACGCGGGCTAAATGTAGTGTAAACATATCCCAGTGTTCTGACAGTGTTGTGATAACGTGTATTCCCTGAAGAGGGTACAAAGGCTTAGAGAAGACCCAAAACCTATTTAATGTTTAAATGAGGCGGAGGAAAGTGTTGACAGAGTTATTCACACGATAAACTGGATTTCTTCTGTACGACGGACAAGTCTATAGAATGACCATACGTAGAAATGACTTAAAGGAACACTAGACATATTTCTGTTCTAAGTTTTGTCAATGAATGTCTTAGTCATTACTTCCTAACTGACGCTTATACTACTAACTGCTGGTTTAACGGTATGTATTGAATTTTTGAGACACAATAAAAAAACACTAAAAAAATGGCTATTGCTCATCTAATGTTCTTGTAGAATGGATTGCTTGCATTGATCATGCGAGGATATAAATCGCTAAAACAGCATTATTAAGATTTCAGAAGATATTAGGCATAAAGTAAAGCCACTCACCTGGACCAATAAGATCAACGGATAGAAAGAAGGTAGGAAGGAGAAACAGTGAGGCGAGTACACTATAATTCATCTGTGGAGAGAAAGAAAGAATTTCAACGCTTCCTAATTATCTGTTCTTTGAGATTTGAGATAAGAGTGGTATTTATAAAAGGTATTTCTACTATATTTAGTAGATATAAAACAAAAAGATAAAGTTCCACCCAAATATCATATATCATTTCCACAACACATTGGACTTTTAAGCACCTGATGCATGATTAGGTATAAGCACAATTAATTCCAAGTTCTTCAAATCCACACGAGATAAAAAAAAGCATTGATAGTGTTATCTCTCCTAATGTACCGCAATCAAACTTAAGACATTTTTAACTTGAAACATGCAGGCGAATCAATATGACAACCTTCTTATTTCAAACTGATTGTTTCGGGAACAGAAAAGCTCCTTGCACCTATTTGATGTATATGGAACTACTTTTTAAGGTTCTTGCTACGAGAAGCTTTGTTCATGGATAATTTGTGCAGAACCGAGTTTCCTTGAAAGAGAGTCTGCTTTAAAAGCATGGACTAGAAGTTCAGGTGTCAAATTACTGTCAAACCAGGGCTTTTAATAACGTGAGATTTGTAAGTTCTATGACCTGTACTGATGCACTACTTTTCTTTTGAATCTAGGAACGCACTGCATAAGATATACTTATTATCAGAGGCGCCTTTTGATTACAGAGCAGCATAAACATACTTGCCAAAAATGGATATGAAAATGTTAAGGCTGGTTTATATCGGTGTTAATTTACACACTTGGTCATATTTAAAAGTGATCGCACTTGGACCTTTATGTATCGACATTGTTTCAAAAACAACTTAAATTTTAAACTTGAAACTTCTAACGAGAAATGCAGTGTGAGTTTCACTATACTTCAAGAATCGTAAAAATATGTTCATCAGGGTTAAAGTGATTCGAAATATCTTTCAAATGGTCACCTAGTTATATTTTAAACAATAATAAGATCTGATTTTGTATCAAGAAGGATATAGAAATAACGAACAGTATTCAATCACAAAGTCCATAAAACAATACAAAACAAGAGCAGAGCAAACACGGACCTCCGAAACATCAGAGGTGGGATCAGGTGCCATGGAGGAGTGAGCACCCCCTGCTGACCGGTCACACCCGCCGTGTGCTCATTGTCATGATCGTGAAATAACGGAAAAATCCATCGTCAATTCAGTGTATAAATAATGGACTAACAATTAGTATGAAAAACGTCATATAACATTCATATAAATGTATATTGACCAATGTCAGTGTAATTCACAATAAGGGTTGTGGTAAAAATATTTAAAAAAATGAATTGAATATGATGAGTTGATTTTATTCCGATTATTGATTTATGAGTTAGTTAGTTCTATTTAATGGCAATTTCCTTTTGCACTATATAGAATGATTTTCTTGAACCATTTAAAGGCAATTTGTTCATTGATGCAACAAAGAACAATTTGTTTATGCACTTATTATTTTGATTCAGTGCCTTGATTTGATTTCAACCATTCCACTAGAAGTTCAGTGTATGACTGATGCTTAAAATATTGTGAAAAAAAGACAATTCCTTGTGTCGATAATATTTGAATGACTGCATATTGAACGTCCCTCTCGAGAATTTTTCACTCATATGGAGACGCCACCACTCTATAGTGACTATAACTAACGTACTTGGCTCTTTTGTCCTTATCTCTGCACCCAGGGCCATTGAGCAGTGAGGGATCTTTTTCGTCCCAGAGCCTATTGCGACACGGGACCTCGGTTTATACAGTCTCATCCGAAGGACCCGTCTCCACGTTTCACAGGCTTAGAAAAGGTATTTACACAAGAAAACTAGAGGTACATGTACTGTGAGCACTTTATGATATCCCCGCCTCCCGCACGATTATCATGACGAAGGCCATGTTTTGTTCTCGGAGAAATAAGTGTCAGATAAAAGATTAAATTAGGAGGTGCATATTGACATTATGCTATAAAGAATCTGTGAAAGTATCAATAATATTGATCATATTAATTATATCCAGAATTTGAGAATTAAATTATACGAGTACTGATTTTTTTATATTGAAGTATTGATCTAATAAACATTTCTTGTGTAAAGTAAAATATTAACATAACTTTAATTAGATTTCAAAAAAAGATGTACAAATGTACACACATTATGCAATATTTTAAAAAAGATTTATTCCCCAAGAAATTGCAATGCACGTTGTTTGAAATACGAGTATCATTTTATTTGATAATATTTAAAATCATATTTGATTTCTTTTTATTTACTTAAAAGATGAACTTTCTGTGTATCTTCTCTTGTTCGAACTGATTTGAACTCTAATCAAAAGAAAGACAACGTTTTTTCATGTATCTAATGAAACAACCAGTTTGACTCTCTACCCCTTCCCGGATTGGTCTGAACTTTAATTTTAGAAGCAAGAAACAATATATATCACACTGAGGAGTAAAAGTGGTCTGACAGTTTGTCTATGATATTTTCTAATGAAATTACGAATTCAATATGATTATTCAGTACAATGTTTATCCTCTGTTTCTTTTGTTTTGAGGGACCTATCGTATTTCCGGGTAGAACAGCTCAAACTGAAGTTTCATAAACAAAGCCATGAAAAAATAAGAAAAGTTAAGCCCTTCTGAAAACTGTACACAACTGGTGTGACCTGGAGAGAAGGGATGTTCACTCCTTCATGGCACGTGATGCAACCTATATATGATAAAGTAGGGATCTGTGTTTCCTCTGCCCTGTATTTGTATTGTTTAATTGACTTTTGAGCCTAAGTACTGTTTTTTATATCCATATATTTGATTGTTTAAAATGTTACGTTATCCTAGTGGTGCTATGTGCTTTATTGAACATTTGCAAAAAGCACTCACGATTACAATCAAAGTCTTACTTGTACAACAACCGGTAAGCCTTTTATATACACGAATTTCATGAATTTGAGAAAAAAGATAACAAATTCTTATTAGTGGTTATAGGTAAAATGTTCGCAGCGCTTACATTATTAATCCGTTTACAATTAACTCTAAAAATGAACTGAAAAAGAATATTAAATACTATATTCGTGAGGGATTCTATCTCCTACCAATCTCACGTATGATAGAATTCAAAAAGGAAGAAAAACGACCCAGATGGAAAATAAAGATCATTTAATTAATGATTTTATTTAACTGAGTGTGAATTTCTGGTCTCGTAGAAAGTTCTAAAATAAAAAAAAAAATTACGAAATTGAATAAGTAAATTTCCTTTTCCAATAATTTTCATTATTCTTACTGTGCATTCAATTTTTGCGCATTGAAAATATATAGAAATATCGTGACCCCAATGGGTTTCTAAAATTCAAAACATAATATATCGTTGGAATCAAAAGAGGAATTAAATTGAATTAAGAAAATTCAATTTGAATCTGATAGCAGAATGTACACATATCTTAGAATATATCTAATTAACGATAGAAGACAATACAAATAGTAACCTAGTATTGGAAGTGTTATATAGCACAACTCACTAAAATGACGTCAAAGAAGAAAAATCGCTCAACGTAATAGCATCAAAAACTGATTTTAGTCCGAATCAAAACATTCTCGAAAGAATCAAATGTGATAATGAAAGAAAAAACTCAAAGAAAATAACATCTTACTAGATGAAGACACATTACTCGACGGAATACGAATCGATTTTCCAAAGCCAGTTTGCTTTAAAAATAATCATTTGGGACTCTTCTTAGTTTTTTTTGAACAGAAGGAAACCAGATTATTATTTTTAACTCTTAACGGTTTTCTTCAAAGAGCACCAAAAAAAAAAAAAAAAAAAAAAAAAAAAAAAAAAAAAAAAAAATACACAAGAAGTTTAAATGCATGGCTTCTTGACACATAATAATATTTCAGACTGAGCATGCTAAGGGCATCACAATTTTTATGCGCCCGTAATCGAAGATTTAAGGGTATAAAGTTTTCGCCTTATCTGTCCGTGTGTCTGTCTGTCGATGGTATATTTTATTCCTTGTGGAAAGACCTTTCTAAGGGTATCAACAAATAAAACCTTTTAACCTTAAAATACAAGTTTCACTCACTTTTTCAAAATGTTAAACTTGGACATAACTCATAAGCAGTAAGGACTAGAGCTTTCATATTTCAGAGACATATTCCTTGTGAAGACCCCTCTTTGGATGCCAGCAATTTTGATCCTTTGACTTTGACCTATGAGGTGGACTTGTATTTAAGGAACTTCAATCCTCATCATAATCTGCAATACGGGGGCATCAGTGTGTCATAAAAACATCTTGTTTTAAATTAAAAATAGTAAAATCTTTGATTTTTTTTTCCGGATGGAACTCTCAATCACTATTGAAATAATTATTTCAATAGTGGTTGTATTTCAATAGTGGTTATTACATATGTTTGTTATTGAAATGCACTCTCAACCACTATTGATATAATTATTTCAATAGTGGTTATATTTCAATAGTGGTTACTAACTATGTTTGCTATTGAAATGCACTCTCAACCAATATTGATATAATTATTTCAATAGTGGTTGCAACAGAGCGGCTTTTTTCTAAATAAATAAATAAACCGTATAAAACGGGGTCCAATTTAGCAAAAAAGGATAGCACAATAATTAAAGGTCAAAAGGGCCAAGTACAGTCTTAAATTTGCAACCTTTTCCTAGGAATTTTGGCGTCTCAATATGAGTGAAAATTCTTGAATGTACAATTACAACCGAACATCCTGCAAACGAATCGATTCTGGGAATACTTTGTACACAAAATTTTTTTAGAGCACACTTTTACATGTAGCCACTGACGTAATTCTTTTTGTACCTATGAAAGGCGTGATCAAAACGTCATTTCCAACTTATCAATTGTCGTAAGAAATTTGATAAATATGTATTTATGGCTTGTATCGATATTGACATTACAAAATTGTGTTCTAAGGTTATTGCTACATGAATGATTCATAGGCATTGCAAAGCAAAAGTCACAAAGATGTGTCCATTAAAACAGCCATATGGAATGCAACAA